TCTTCGGGGGATGACCGTAAGATTAGACAGACTATGGACAGGACACACATACAGTATTTTGAAGGTAAACTTGGTGTACCCCCAAGTATCATTTTGCATACCCCCTTGGGTACACGTACCCCCACTTTGGAGACCACTGCTCTATACTATGACATGCAGTGCTATGCATTTCAATGCAAAGTCGATATGGGATCCACTGAACCAGTCCCAAAATATTTGCTATTTATATATATGATTACATATGAAAATTCTTGATTCTGCAAGCAATAAGAGGGCCCTTTCATGTCTTTCAATCAACATGGCTAAGCCACAATTAAGGTAACTTGATGACTGGAGTCCTAACGTATCAGTCCACTAGTAGCTAAATGGATAAAACCACTGAATGATGTAGCTGGTGGCAGGTTTATGCCTCACCAATAGGCTGGCTATGTATAGTTTTATTCAAGTGTTTAAAGCCTCAATTGGGCCAGTTTCACATTGAAAATTCTCCCCTTTTGTATTTCAAAATTCAAAACCTTTAGTCAGAGGTGTATAGATGATTGGCACACTCAAATCAAAAATATTTATCAAAATGCACTTGCCAAGCATGATAAATGCATTTCTCTTCTTTATAATTAACCTCCATGTGTATTTTCTATTTTTGAACAATACCCGAAGAGCTTATAAGATCAAAAACGTTTGTTTTACGGAGAAATAACCAGATGCTGGAGTAATCTAGACTTGAATCTGGGTCCTCTAATGCAGTAGGTTGATTTCTTATTGCTGTTTCTTCTCGCGATTCTTTGTGCGCTATATTATATTATTATGCGCTAACTATATTTAGAAACTCTTGCACAGTTTTCTTTCCATGCTACCTAATATTTTGTGTAGTTGAAAGTTTGATCTTATGGCTAATATTAAATCTGTGAATTCATGTTTAATATCCTATTCTATTAATTAAAATGCTAAAAATTGCTTTATTTATCATAGGTTGTAATTTTTTTTATCAACATTGTTATTCTGAAAGTGTCAGATCAGCCAAAAGAAACTAATTTTTTATCATCACATCATATCTTCAGAATTAGAAGTGTATTGAGAGAAATGTCTTCTTTAGGTCTCTGATTTATTCTCCTATATTTTCTTTAACCTTTAGTAGATATTGCAGTTAGAAGATCTTGAATGATCCTTATACATCAAAATATTTCAAATTTGCACAATAAAACTGAAAATACAGAATAGGAAATGAAGTTTGTATTTTCTATTCTGTATTTTCAGTTCAGGCACTGTTCTTATCAATTTTTATGTTCACAACACTGAATAGAAAAAATAATCTTTTAAGAACTTTCTGTTATATTCACAACCAAGGATCAAGAGTTTGAAAATTAGTTAATCTCTTACTCTTTCACTTTGCATTTATTACGTGAATGCTTATTAACTAACTACTAATTCTCTATCCTTGGTTTGAATAGACATAAGAGGTTTTTTTTAAATTAAGTCTTCTACAAGTTTAGTCAAGCCATAATGGAACAATCGCATGGATGTGAAAGATGTCTATGTAAACAATAGAGACCATCCATAAAATTTTCTAATGATCTAACTTGTACTCAAACCAGGATCTTGCAACATTTTAGGTTGCATTTTAATTATAACATGAAAATGACATTTTAAACTCCAGCAGAATCATTAAATAGGTTGAAAACATTTCTAATTTAGTCATCGTCAAGTAAAGCATTTGAGATGGACGACCAATTTGAAGTTTTGAGCATCAAAGTTGAAAATTGGCCAATTTAGCCATCTGTTTATCTCTCTAACTGTTAGTTGTGTCTATTGTTGAGCATAGACTGTTTCTAAATATATTATTCTCTAGAAATAAGACTCATAAACTTGAAACATACATGTGTGAAATTTTGTTAACCTATGAAATGTTTTTATATCCACAATTTTATAGCCAATTATAAAAAGTTAGTTGCTTAAATAATTGAAGTCTACAATGCAACTCTTCCCATAACTCATTAAATTGAAAAAGTGAAGTCTGAAATTCAGATATCAATGTGAGATATTGTATTAAAATTACGTGTTTTAAACCATCACATTAACACATACATAATTACCATTTGGGTTTAATTATAGATTATTTATTTCAAGTTTTCATGAGACATAAAAACCATCTAGTGACAGAATTTGCAATATTTTGAGTCACGGAATTAACAAACCAACTTATAATTTGAGAAAATCAATATGTAGGGTAAATTTACAATGGATATAATTTTATTTGGTGGTGGTGGAGGTGTCTGAAAAGTTACTGTGCAGTGAGAAATTTGTAATGACATTAAAGTTATACATGCAATATTGCAAACAAGACTTGCTAGTTGTATGCAATACTGTATGTATAACTGGTCAACTAGTACCGAATGGACAACATACAAGTTTTGCATGCAATACCATGTGCACAAGTTTTCAGACACCTTGTATCAAAAGTGAAGCAGTGCCTGCTAAGTAAAAACAGCAAAGAATTTTATTAAAATAAATATTTTATTTTGTTGTTTCTGAGGGATATTTCTAACAAACAAGTCTAGACATCAAGACACACCTTTTAATTGCTTGGTATTCTGACAAGTATTTCGGATAAATCTTTACTTGTCACAATAAACTTTTTGCTGGTTTAGCAATGTATACAAGATCAACAAGAACTTGATAATGGAATTTTTAAATGACCAAAAGAACTTATTACAACACCTTTATAACTAAAATAAGGTCTTTGATTACTGGTATTAGTTATTTATTTGTTTTGCATATTTATTTGTCATTAAAATAACAAATTTGGCATCAACATTTAACAAATAAAAGAACTGTAATCTTAGAAATGAAAATTATTTGTTGCAAAATTTATTTGTATTTTTTATAATATATTATAGCGAAATGAAATGAATACACAAATTACATGATATGAAAATAAATATTCATCCAAGTGTCATTTTGCATTATTCATTACAATAATAAAATTAGCCAAAAGGCAATTGCAAATCTGGTTTTAGAAAAATGATGAATTAAAATTAATAAAACAGAAAATGCTCAAATACAAAAATCATGTGTTTTTGTTTTTTGTATCACTTCTGTTTGTCTTCTTCAATCATTACAGCTTTCTGAACAAACTCAAACCCCACATTTTCCATCAAGCCATGTAAGTGAAACGTGCACAATGTCTGAAAACTTATTGTGCAGTGATAAATTTGTAATGATGCTAAAGTTATGGTCTTGTGCGATACCATACCTAAAGGATGCATGTCTTATGTTTCCATTTTGCAGATGGCTTTACTACTTGCTCACAGAAGACTTCTTTGTTGATTGAATAACATCCTGTTGAATCCCACTGCACAGTAACTTCTCGGACACCTTGTATATATTTATGCTTGCAATCATTCTCTGGATTGGGTTTGTGAATTTTAAGAGAAAAATAATTTTTTTTGTAGTTTTATCCTCTAATAATCCATTCCACTTCAAGTATATACTTTTAGTGGTTGATAATTGTTAACAAAAACTGAATTAAATTTATTTTTATGAACAAAAATTTCCTACTATAATTACCTTTATAGGATTTTAAACTCTGCTAGTTCCCATGATTACTGTAGCCATTCAGTCATAGACAGAGCATGAGTACTGTCAAACATGTCTGGTATCTCCTGAATACTGCAGTGGGACAATGTTCAGGAAAACCTGTTTCCCTCAGAGAACTTTTAGATTGTGCGCAGAGTGGGCCAACATTCCTTGGGTGAGATAACAGAAATCATCGATTCCATGTGAAGGCTTTGTGATTTTACTGTACTTAAGTAGCATTTGTATCATATGGATACTTTGAAATAAAAAGACATTGTCTGTATATGGATAAAATGAACAACTTAGAATAAAAATGCCATCAAATTGACATCAAAGTATACACTTTTTCACAAAACAGAGCTGCTATATTTTTAATATATGCTTGTTTGAAAAATTTTAAATTACAGATTCAAATCTAATTTAATTGGCTGATTTCTGTAGAACTATTATTTGAGAAAGAATATTCAAGACCACCAAAATGAGTGGCATTGCACTTAGTTTTCATAAATTTTATCTTTAGACATGGCTGGCTGTCTGATTTTAATTTGTCTTAGTAAAGGAGAATTTTTAATTTTAAACAAACACACTACATAAGAAATGTTTTAAAATAAGACATCAAAATCTTAGGATTTACAAACATGACTGATGATAACAATCTTTATTTTTGCATAGAACTATACAATCAAATGTAATTACAATTAAATTTGCTAATTCATTGGTTTTTTCCCCTAGACAAAAGGAATATGATGTAAAAAAAATAACATATATACCCTTGTCTTTTTAATATACAACCAGGAAATCTTTACATAAGTACTTTCGTATTGTCGAATATTCCACGCAAATACAATATCGAGAATAACTTTTAAATTTTAAACAAGACAATAAAGATTTTTGCAAGATACGAAAAGAAAACAAAGTTTTCAAAAGCAAATTGCACTAGTCCTTACCGTTTTTGAACAGACTATGCACACTTCTTGATACAATCTTCTTTTATAAATCAAATTACTTAGCATTTAAAGAATATTTGCAAAAAACTAAATTTATTTTTTGAGAACTTCATTCCAGCTAATACATACATATATATATATATATATTTTTTTTTTACAAATTTACAATTTTACTATTTATTAAATTCGTTCTTTGTACAGTTTTGTTTTCAACAATCGATATGTGCCATAAATATTTATCGAACGGGAACTAAAAAAATATATTCATATCGACTTATAGCAAAATGATTCATAATTTAAAAGCCAAATTGTGTGATGCATATTAAAGAATAAAAAAAAAAAATATATATATTGTTATCACAGATAAACAATCCTATTGAGAACAGAAACCTTGCTGTTTATTAATAATATATTTATCACATGCACCTCTAGTGGGTTTCAATAATCAAATAAATATTTGACTATAGGCTATTTACATACTTTTTTTTTTTTTAATATAGATAAATATTCAAATCACAAAGAATTTACATCTTTCTTTTCATAGTTAGAAGTATAAAAATCAAAAACAAAAACTTATATTTCTTATAATATTAAAACAGTCTCTAACAATGTCTGATATGAAAATTTAACATTGTGTCATGGAGCAAAAATATAACAAAACTTAACAATCTATACACAGTTTAATTTCGCACATCGCTTTCGTCTCGAAATCTCATCAAACAATTTGTACTGTTAATTTCGCACCAGTTCTCGGAGTTTACGAAGAAATCAAAATTAATTTTTCCCCCGCTCGGACTCTTTCTTCCGAGTTCATCTTGGGTTTTGTCGGAAATGCGCAATGCATGTCTTCTCTTTGAAAAATTTTACAGATGCTGAATTTTGGACGGAAATTTTGATTTTTATCTTTAATCTTTTTTTTTTTTATCTTTTTTTTTTTTGTTCAGTAGATTTAAAATTTTAAAATTTTTCTTTTTTCTTTAAATATTATTAATTCCATTAATAACTTTTAGCAATTGTTAACAACCAAACCGATTAAATTTTACGTTCTGAAAATGTAAAATGATATTCAAAGAAAGCATTGCGAACGAAACAGAATTAAGTCAAAGGAACTGCATAACAGTAAACAATTAACAATTACATAGTTACAATAAACGGGACAAGTACTTCGTGTCATGCTTAAAAGAAGTACAAATATAAATAACTTGATTAACAATCTAATTCTGCTTACATAAGTGCTAGGCATGACATTTTTAGTAGACTGATCGGGCCGACAGAACAAGTAACCAAGGACGGTGTAAAAATTTTTGAACTGTTTATCGTCTAAAATTTTGGATAAAAAGGCACTTATATGAGGTGAATTGTGTGCATATCAGTGCGTCGAAATTAATTCAAAACCGCAATAATTGCAAGAAGGAATCTGGGAAAACAAAGTACACAATCTTAATCACGAAAAACAGAACAAATAATTGATATTGATATTGAAAAGAAGTTATCCTGGTTGTATGGTTTGCAGGAGATGTCATACGCTAGCACCAATGTTCACAGTTAGGAACAATGGATAGCATATTCAAATTAAATATGAAGGCATTGAAACTATATAAATCAAACAATCCTAGACGGAGTGCCGATAACATTTATCAAGTTTGTCTTTTTGCTGTTTTGGCTCGTTAAAGAACTGCATTTTTAATAAAAATGCCATTTTTCATCCCAAAGATGAGCTTTTTATGGATCAATTTAAAATACCTGTCTTAAAATAACTGCATAAAAATGTTATGTATGTATGTATGTATGTATGTATGTATATATATGTATATTTTTCTTTCCTTAAAAAGTGTCATTATTGATATTTGGCTGTTTATTCTGCACAAAAAGAAAAAACAAATATATATATTGTATAAATTAAAATGTTTAAATAGTAATAATGTCCCTTACAAAACTTTTCATTTGTTCATGCTATAATGCCAGCCTGGAATGGAAGACAGCACCATTAAAGAAACTGCCATTTACCGTAATTAGTTCAAAAATATAGTTTTTCCATTTTCCGTTAGCTCCATCTGATTCTTCTTCTTTTTCCTACTCCAAGTATCTAGCCACCTCCTCTTCTTACAGGTTTCTTCTTTAACAGGTTGAGAATTCACAGAGTTTGTACAGTTTTCTTCTAACACTTGACACACGCCATTGGCTAGAGGAGTGTCGGCGGAATTCGTCGCATAGATCTCGACCCACACTGGACAGCTGTCTCCGACGCTTCCACCCCAGAGCCAGCCGTTAGGAATAGCAAGATGGCTAAGTCCTTCTCGTATAACACCCCAGTTCCCTATAAAATTATACTGCTTAGCATTTATAATTTAAGATTTTTAAAAGATAATAATTCTTACTTTTCTTACCCGTAAATATCTTCTTTATGTTCTGATTAACTACAATGAAACTTTCTTGATGATTATTTACTAAGTTAGTTGATATACCTTCGGGCAGAAGATGACAGTATTCAGAATGAGTGATTGTTATATTTTCTGAAGAAAAGAGAAAATATTAATATCTTATATTTAAAAATTAATTTTTATTATTAAATCTAATCTGTGATACTTGTTTGATATATGTAGTACATTCAAAATTTCGCAGAAAATGTCTATAATGTGTGTAGATAGAGTGAGAATGACTCAGATTTATTTTAAATACTTAGCAACATGTCTATTCATGCATTTCGTGACATGTTGAAAGCAAGATTTCGGAGTCCAGTTTAACACAAAAATGTCCAGTATTGAAGAAAAAATAAACATCAAATTTTGTGTCCTTTTGAAGAACACACTTCAGCAAAGTCTGGAAATGTTATCAGCAGCTTATGGGGTTCACCTCTTCACTGCACGAAATACCAAAAATTCAAAGCAAATGAGTTGATTGCCACTGCAAAAAGTACGCTTCAGATGGTCGCAAATGAGAGGTTCCGAGATGTTTTCGGAAAAGTGTATGACAGATGAAGTGTGTTGCTGCAGAAGGCAAATGCTTTGATAGTAGTGTTGTCTAAATGTACATAGAGTCAACAAAAATCTTTTCCACACACTTTTTGAATGTACCATGTATAAATACTAAAAGCAACACATATTCCAAAGAAATTTAATAATATTGTAATCATCACAATATCATAACTATAATATAAACTATTATCCCACAACACATGCACATACATTCATAACTCTTTTTACATAAGAAATACATTATTTGTGCAATCATTAGTATCAGATGGTAGCACTGCCTTGGCCTTATTGCAAAATGATGTGTTAGATTATTTATCAGGCTATACAGTAATACCCCGAACTTATGCGATAGGTGGGACTGAGCGATAACTGCGTAAGTCGAATTCGCGTAAGTCAAGGTATAATTTCGCAATTTGTGTAAAATCCAAGTCGGATGTATGTAAGATAATAAATGTTCTCGTGAATCTTATCTTGTCATTTGATTTGTTCACGGTTACAAGAAATCACCACATAGAGTCTCTCGAGTCTCCGTAGATATAACAAACACAGAAATAAATAACACAAAATAAATTGTAGCTATGTGTTGATTCTGCGTGACACGTCTGAACATATAAGCTGAAAAATAGTGTAGGAGGAGTGAGTAATCAAGAGTTGCCTGGCACTCAAACAAAAGACGAATCGACGAGATTTGAAAATTGCGTAACTCTGAGTTTGCGTAAGTCGGGGTAGCGCAAGTCGAGGTATTACTGTATTAAAGATAAATAGATTAGGCTGTAGAGGGCTAAGGACACTAAAGCTGTCTCCAGTTAGTGCCAAGAGTGACCGGAACGGTTATATCTAAATAAATAAATTAATAACTCTGGAAGCAAAGATTGGATGTCCGAGTAGCATAACTGGCAATACACCTAGACAGTAAGTAGGAGTTGCAGGTTTGAGTCCCACTCCAACCTGATCATTTTTTCCAGAATACTCTAAATTAAAAATTAATTTAGTTCTAATTATTAAATTAGCCTTAACATAGCTTAAATCATCTGGTGGATTGCTTGACAATACTAATTGAATCAGGATGTTGTATGCATTATTACATTTAACTTTTATTTATTTACTTTTTGATAACCTAATATTCGAGCAAATAGGTTCAACAGCTCAGATAGTAGGTTATCCAAGTACAGTATGACGCAGATTTGTATTTTGGTGAGTATTACAATGTTCTTTGTAACCTGTCTCTTTTTAACTCTAGAACAATTGATCGGCTCCATAACCTGTTCCTTTACTTTGACAATCATTGTCTTCTCTCACATCAATGTTGTGAAGTAATAGATCACCGCTCAACTGTTTTCATAGTGTATCAAAGAGATTTGTTATTGCACACAATAATAAAATGAGCTGAAATAAAGGTTAAAATGAAATTAGTTTTTCTTTAAAGAACCTTTTTAAGCTTATAAAACCTAAAATAGGACACAATGAAAGTATTCATTTTCAACCTTTATTTTCATTTATTTTAACAGTCAGGTTTTTCTATTTTGAGACTTTGCAATGCTGTATAAATTTATTTCAATTGATGTATTACTGAAAACAATACTAGAATATACAGTATGTTCAAACAATTACTAATGCCTGATCACATTTCACTAATAAACAGGATTTCATCGTTCCTCAACAACTGTTAATGATTGTATTACAAATTAATTAGTAATAAAAATATAATTCAAGACTGTCATTTTATTATTGTTTGGACAATTAAATAACAATGACAATCTTTTTATTATTGTGTGCAATAAGAAATCTCTTTGATATACTAGGAAAACAGCTGTTGAGTGTCGAAAATGTCCTTTAAAGAAAAACTACTTTCTTTTTAACCTTTATTTTGGCTCATTTTATTATCCAACATCTCTCAAAACACAACAATTAGTATAAAGCCACACAGTCATAAAGATTGAGCTGTTTTCTGGCAATTACAATTTTAATTGCTAATTAATTTGTCCTAGAGCAGGGGTGTCCAACCTTTTTGTTTCTCTGGGCCACATTGGAAGAAATCATGGAGTTTTGGGCCACAAGTATAATATATATACTTGTGGCCCAAGTATATTTTGACCCAATCCTTAAATATACAAGTACAGTGGGTGATCGATTAACGAACATAATCCATTCCAAGACTTTGTTCGCTATCCGAATTGTTCGTTAACCGATTATCGATTTACCATAGGTTAATCAAATTCCCATAGGTTTCTATGGGAATTTGATTAATTCATTCTGGAGACCCCCAAAAAATAAAAATATATATACTTTCTTACTACGTTTATTCACATGTAATAATAAAAATACATATATACATGGTCTTGCATTTTTATTAGTCATGTTTTTTTCCATTTGTTGGGGTTAAAGAATCTGTCCAATGTCAATTGCTTTTCTGTCTTCTTCATGATTTTTCAGAAGTAATTAATAGCATTGTAATTGTAGAGATCTATAGGCCTATTAACCTCAACCTGGTTTGAATGTCATTTTAAGACCATTGTTCTGACATCTCTCAATTCTTCAAAAGATCTTTAATAGCAGATATCGACATAAATCCGCATTTTCAGAAGAAAACGTTAAAGAATTGTTTCTGTCAGAAATATAAAAGGCTGGAATTACAAGGGAGAGTTTCAAAGTTCGGGGGAATACTATCTGATCAGTATATACTGGGTAGAATGTCGTTGTTGACATCTCCCGCACTCCGAAAAGTTTTGAATTGTTGCCTGAGACAAAGGAAGACCAATTGGCATTTGTTATTTATGTCGCTTTTTCTTGTGTTTGTTCAGTGAAGTGTTCATTATCCAAACATGTGTTTGTTGTCCAATCATAAAAATCTTTTGCGAAAATGTTCATTATCCGATTTGTTCGTTATCTGATCTGTTCATTAACCGATCACCCACTGTATATTTAAGGATTAATATGTCTGGATTATGGTAATAAGCATTAAAACTTTATTACGAATAAGGATATTTAAAAAAATTACTTCTACAGACACTTTCAATTTTTACCTAGAAATAAATAAATTCATTTATTATAAAGGAGACAAACAAAAATTTATTTGAAAAACACAAATATTTGTTTTATTTGGGTCTCTAATTAATAAAAAACGACGAAACACCATTTTAAAGTGCATTCTTATTCAACTAATATATTTATAAATAATATGTAGCCCAGAAAGTAGCCAATGCGTCAAATGATAATTTTTACGCCAAACTGAAAAAAGGGTAGCCAAATCTTGCAACGCTGGATGGAGTACTAAATAAAGCTGGAGTTGGGACTCAAAGGATTACAGACCCAAAGCGAGGAAAGGAGAGAAAGGACACAAGATAAAGAAGTGAGGAAAGTTGGAAAATTAATGGTCAATATTTGCATAACAGAAGGTATATTTAACCTTTCTCACTACTTTTTATCTTTTGGCCTTTCTCTCCTTGTTCCAAATTTAAGTTTATACTCCTTTGAGTCACAACTTCAGCTTTATTTCATATACAGTCGACCCCCCTATAATTACAGTCCCTATAATTACGATTCCTATAAAACTACGAAAAAATATACGTATTTTGGAAATGTTGAGTCGGATTAGTGTAGAATCGATTAATTTTATGGAAGAAAACCTTTCAATCAGCCGTAGTCCGTAAACTTGACACGTGTCGGGCTGTGATTGGAACGACTTGTAAGAAATCGGATTCCTAATAAATTGGAACGTATCTATATCTTATAGGGGGGTCGACTGTACCTTCCTCATTCACACATTTCCAAGTATTTGAAAATATTTCCTTTCCACTCAAAATTATGTATAAAGGTTTACGGCTTTGTGAAATGTCTTTTTTGAATTTGTGCTGTTGAAATAACTAAATAAATAAATAAATAAAATAAAAATCTGTTGGTTTTGTTTACACGTTTATTGGGCCGCATTGGAACTTGCCTTGGGCCGTGGGTTGGACACCCGTCCTAGAGGGAGGCATTAGGCACCATCTCATATTAAATTAAATAATTTTAGATGTTTATATATATATATAATGCTAGATATGCGATGGCTGGCCAAGTGCCTCGCATGGGAGTTTACAGGATGAGGGCACTTGATGCGTCCCCAGTCGGCACCGTAAGTAACGAACGATGGGTTATATCATAGTTAAATATGCCTGGAAGAGGAGATCGAACTGGAGGTCCAGATAGCATAATTGGCAACGCATCCACATGGCAAGCAAGAGTCATAGGTTCAAGTCCCGCTCTGGGCCAATTCTTTTCTTTCAGAATATTCTAAAATTATTTAATTAAATTAAATACGAGATGGCACCTAATGTCCCCCTCTAGGACAAATTAATTATTAATCAAAATTATAATTGCCAGAAAATAGCCCAATCTTATACAGCAGTTGCCTAAAATGGCCATAGCCTGATAAAGACTTCAAAACTATTAACAGACCAATTAGATGGATGTATGGTAGGCAATATGTGAGGGCCAGGATTTAAGAGGGCCGAGATTCGAATAGTTATATTCATTTTTATTCATTCATTTACCGTTTTGTTTCAAAATCAAACCGATTTTTTTAAAGTTAGGGTTAACACAAAAAGGGAAAAACAACCGACAAATTTTCTCATAAAAATCGCTCATAAAAACTCCGTTCCCACGACAATACTTCCCTGTAGAAGATGAGTTAACTGTTGTGTCATAAGTTTGTCACTTCGCCCATCATTGGTCAAAGAAGATCATCACCTGTGACGTACATGGGGAAATCTCGAAAAAAGAGCCCCCATATAAAAGGCAAGTGCGATGACGACACAAGGGGGAAATTAAGTTCTTTTCTCTATACTGTGAGTGTGTGCCCGTGGATTTACCTGCATCTCGTCTCCACCGTCTTTAATAGACTTTGAACTTCGACTTCGAACTTTGGACTGATTTGAACTTTGAACTTGGAAGGACGAACCTCGGATCAACGTTATAACAACCTAATCAGAGGTATTTATCCTACACGCGATGATGTGTAAGCTCTCTCTCGAATATTCGAACCTCGCGGGTAGGGTCGCGACTATTTTATACTTTGCCGTTACTTTATGAACTATACGGATTGAACCCGAGAGGGATTTGTATTCCAATTATTAACTATGTATAAATGTACGGAATAAACGGGTATTTTGTTAACGAACTTGGATTGGTGTGCGTTTCTTCCGACATTTTCCACTCCATACTGAACCCGAAGTCCTCGACGAGATCGCTCGTGATAATTCCCCATCCATCCGCGTATCTATCCGCGATAAATTGATAGATTGGTGTCAGATCCTGACAGGTGAAAGAATCTAACGATCCTTTCTCCTAACCCTTTTTCCCCATCCTTTAGACAAGCAAGACCGGACCTCAAGGTCTTGAGTCGAGTAAGTGGTAGGAGAGGGAATATCCTCGTAAACATCCTACCCCCGATTAGTCTCACAAATATATTAGCAGTTTATATTTTTTAGAAACGTAACTCCAATCTATAAGAAGCACTTACGAAAACTTCAAGATATTATAATTAATTCTGATGAAAGGATAATTTAGTTTTAAAGAAACCCATTTTCCTTTAAGGCTAACTTCTGGAGGAGTTCCAATAAATTATCCAAAGAGTGTAGTCGGATTAATGGAAAGTAATGCTAAAGATCTGCAGGAATGAGTTAAAATATTATAGATGATGTGCAATGCTATAAAATTAATACTAAAAAATTACACTTTTTAAACTTTACTAATAACAAAGTATATAAAGATATATCATTAGTGATACTAAATTGGACCAAGTGATTACATCAAAAGATTGTTGTCAAAGTATGCAGAGACTAGAAAAAAATTGGATGTAGGCAAGCATCTAGTGCAGAATGTAGCAATGACGTTTGAAGTTTGAGAAGAATAGTTTAAAGATGCGAAGAAAAGTTTAATTGGGTTAAATTTTAACTTCTAACTCTTAAAATGTAAAAATAGAAGGAAAATAGGAATGTAATACATTAAGTACTTCAAAATAAGAAAGAAGTCAGAAGAAAAAAATACAAGAATTTGAAATTTCAGCAGCACAGAGAACACTTTTAATACTAAATAAACACATTTTTTCCTTCATTTGCGGTAGGTAAAAAGCGATGTCGGAGATTTCAATCCCAATAATTGAAAATTCATCTCTCGTAGAACTCTCTCTTTAAAGTTAAACTACAGAGTATAAAGATAATGAAGTGTAAAATGTAAGTTTCACTTTAGTTTTTAATAACTTTTACTCTTTGTACAAAGAAGAATAATTTAAACTTTTTGATAATTTTATCTTAAATTATCAGATTATTAACATTACAGATTTCAATTTTGTTTTAACTTTGATAGATTATATCATTTATCAGATGTTTAAGATATAAATTTACTTATCAGTCACTTTTGATCATTAATTTGTGCTATTGTTATGGATTTCCGCTTACACTAGCATAAATTTTTGCAGAATTTAACACTTTTTGATAATTTATATAATACTTTTAATCATTCTGTATCATTTATCACCCGGTCTTTGGATGTTTATGGGCTTTTACTAAAAATAATTGTATAGTAGAGGTTGCAGAGTGCCCAAAGGTCAGCATTGTTAATTATTACAAGAGCATATCAAACAATATCTATCATGGCATTACAGGTTATAATTGGTATGTTGCCAATAGAATTGGAGTTAACAAGGCAGTATTACAATGCCTGTATTAGGAATAAAATTGCATTTTAATAAGGCAATGTATGTTATAATCCAGTTATAAGTGATAAACAGTACTGTACAATAATATTACAGAATGAAAAATTTATGAGGAATTAATAAATGTATGACAAATACGGAATAATGCTGACAAGGGAAGGATTACTTATATCTAAAACGTTGAAACATAAGCAGAGAATTAGGAATTGTTCTTCAACATAGTACAGATATGTAAATTATTTTGTTGTATGTCCCACCAGGATTGTAATTAATTTGTTATCTTAGGTTTGTTCATTGATTTGGTATTGTTAATTTATAAATTTTTGTTTTTATTTACACACAAATTTTCTTGTATATCTTTTATACAAATAGCATGGTGCACTGTTATGGATGCGATACCCTGTTATTTATTGTATTTGATTTTGTTTTCTTTAAAGTTTCTTTTTCTTTTGTCTATGTAAAAACCTTTTATGTTGAATTAAGTTATTGCAAGTAACTAGACTTGCTGATATGCTTGAGCTGGAATGGTAAGGGGTGGTGGAGGGACGGTAGTCCATCTAAACTTTATAATGAGTGCAATAAAGTTTAATTGAGTGGCACTCAGTTAAACTTTATTTGATAAACCTGCTTTAGGTTTGAAAATTACACAATTGGAATTTCAAATGCTGATGTTATGACAAAGTCAGAAATTTGAAATTTGATCTGTGGCCAATCAACAATTGTAAAGATCAATCTCCATAACAAATTTTATTTTGATGTAAATTGACAGCAATGAAAAACTTGATTGCTATGTAGTATGGGGTGTATGTTTAACACACACCCCGTAGGGTGCACGTGCAAAATAACCAATTGCCACAGTCGATAGCTGCTGGCCAAACACATGGACATTTTAAGTATTTGTCAACATTTCTGTAAGTTACAATGTTGGAAATGCACATCCTCCCCAAACCTGGATGTTTTAAACTGCTTTAGATGGAATGTTAGAAGCATGTCACTACATTTGTGTTTTCACGCAAAGCCAAAACAGAAAACTTAAACAGCAGAGCCGAAACATTTTCTTATTTTAAGAAAAACAAATTTAAAATAATTCCTTCTATGAACTTATTTAAGTGGCCTGAAACTTTTAGTATGTTAAAATAGAGTAAATCTTTTGTTTAATTCCTTCCTCAAATGATTAAATGAAAAAAAAGAAAGTTTAAAATCGATCCATCTTAAGGAAGTATATAGAACTTATCGTAAATGTTAAAAATGTTTCACGACAAGTTCTACACACTTCGTTGCAATAGGTGTGAAAAAAGATGTAACAAATCAGTGAATTAAAATATAAAATTTATAGCTTGTAACACAAAATAATAAACAGGAAAATCCACTTTACATTTACAAGGTCAAGTTAACAATTTTATAATTTGTCAATGTGATTGCAACAAAGATATTCATTACAATATGATATAAAATAAAAAAATAGGTAATATAGTCAGTTTTATATCTCTGTCTGATAAATCTGATACAAAGTTTTAATAATTATCATCATCTGTTATCACTTTCATTTAATTGATGTAGGAAGACGATGAGTTTTATATTAATATTAAACACAAAATACAGCTAATTAATGTAACAAATGATAAAAAAAAAATCTTTGAGAAATATTTTTGGTTGTTATTTTGACCGGCTTTAACGTACTGAAAATAATGCAGAATGATAGAAGAAGCACATATTGTATAACTCCGGCAATGTATTTAATTAACCAAAAACATTTTCGACCTACTTCCGTAGGCCGTCTTCAGTTGTAACATCAAACTTATGTCAAGGTAGTTTGCCGAGATCCTAGATATTTCTTCTAATTGAAGCTTAATCCCAACACTGTTATTATTGATGTCTTGTAGGAAAAATCTTGGTGTTTGCCCAAACAAAAATGATGAGTACAATATTAATACACTTGCATATAGACTTTGCTCCTGCTATTTCTTGATAAGTGGCTCCTCGTTCTGCAAAACTTCTATCTTGGCAAGACCCCCGAAGAAGGTGAGCACCTAGGAATCCCAATTTCTGTTGCATTCCAAATTAAAGAGAAAATTAAATTAAAGAGCAAATTAAAGAGAAAAAGGTTGAGATAATCTGACACAATTTTAAAACCAGATTGTGGCTCCTACATATTAAATTCCTAGTGAGAGATAAAGCTGCTTCAAATTTGATAAAAGGAAAGAGACTAGCATAATCACAACTGTGAGAATGTCTTTGTTTTTTGAGATCAATCTGTTATGTGCCCGCAAAACTTCAATTGTGTTAACTGACTTACGGGCAGACATTAGAATCAATGATACGCCAAGTCTGAGCACAAACTTGAAAAAGTTTGCCAATCTGCTACAAACAGTTGCTCCTACAACTCCCAATATTCACATTGCAAATAAATCAAGCTAGTAAATTTGTAATATTTGGAATAATTTAACCAAATTTAAATCCTTGTAGGGAAATATACAAGTATTAAAACAACGTATAAAAGTATTTACCTTTCTTAGCAGCAGGAATGGAAATATTTCCAAGGATGAGTATATCTTTTTCTTCTAAAAAAAACAAATATATCTTATTAATCAACAAACTGAAATATATTTTACATTTAAAACAGATCAATTTACATTTTAACCTAAAATTACAGACAAATTTTCGTTCATAAAAATAAAAATAGCATCAAGTCTTGAACAAATTTGTGTTCAAGATTTGAAGTGAAAGTAATTTTCATTAAAATATTCAATAATAATCAATAGAGTAATCATTCTAGTTTTCTCTCTCATCTCGTTGTCTAACACCTCTAGGAAGTGCTGTAACAAAAATGGCAACTTGCTACAGAGAAGAATTTTGTGTCGTGCAGTTTGCAAAGTAAGAATTGCTCGTCATTGCGATACAGGTAATTTGCAGGATCTGTAGAATTGTTGCTATCGTGAGAGAAGTGACGACAGATATGNGGGTGGTGAGGGACAGGGCCCAACACATCCAGGATGGACCACCCCCTGAAAAATTCTTAGGGTTATTTTTGATTGCCTGGACTCAGCCTAATGTCCGAGGGACCCGAGATTAACACCTCGACCAACATCAGCCATCCAGTCGCCAATATCTAGAATGATTATTTTGGTATTAACTAAAAGAATATTCCACTCGTCATTGAGATACAGGTAATTTGCAGGATCTGTAGAATTGTTGCTATCGTGAGAGAAGTGACGACAGATATGCCGTAGCAAGCATAGGTAGAATTTGAGTATTGCTCAGATGTGTACCATCCAACTTGAGGTGCAGCATGCAATGAGAAATTGTAATGGGCAAACATGAAACTCAGACAGTTTTTTTCAATGTTTAATGTACGTTACGATGCTCTCGGATAATTACAATAATTTAAAATGGTAGCATTCTTCTTGGAAGACCCTGAAGTTTACAAGACTGATAAATGTATGCAACTAAGATCACAATGCATTGTAATTTTTACTGTTTATGATTTCAATACTTGCAACTTTTTCAACAGAATCCACTTAATGTAATCACAGATATTACTTAAAATTTTGCATAAAGTAGCAAACTAAGAGTTACATGGTAGATGACTACTTGAATAAACAAGACAAAATTTCCTCCAACCTTCCTTCCTTTGTAGGCTTCAAATGAATAGTTGCAATGTGTACAAGGGCTGTTCGGAAAGTTTGCGGCCTCACATAGAAAAACAAACAAAATAATGTTAAAACTTTTTTTATTTTTCAATGTAATCTCCTCTATTAGCAATGCACTTATTCCAGCGATGTTCTAGCTTTTTTATGCCATAACAATAGGTCGATTTGTCAAGCCTGGATGTTTTAAACTGCTTTAGATGGAATGTTACTTCAGAGATGACTTCGTCATTTGAGTGGAATCTCTTTCCAGCCAAGAATTTTTTTAGGTTTGGAAAAAGGTGGAAGTCACTGGGGGCCAAATCAGGTGAGTACGGTGGATGTGGAACTAATTGGAAGCAAAGTTCATTTATCTTTTGTTCAGTGATTCTGGCGGAATGTGCAGGTGCATTATCGTGGTGGAACAGAACTTTTTTCTTCTTCAAGTGGCCTCTTTTCTTTGATTTCTTTCTTCAGTTTTTCCAAAAGTTCACAGTAATAGACAGCATTAATGGTCTTTCCTCTTTCTAGGTAGTCAATAAAGATGATGCCTTTAGCATCCCAAAAAACCGAGGCCATCACTTTACCCGCTGATGGAACTGTCTTTGCCTTCTTTGGTGGTAGCGAACTGTGGTGTTTCCATTGCTTCGACTGTTCTTTTGTTTCAGTAATGGATCCACGTTTCGTCAGTAGTCACAAACCAATGCAAGAAATCCTGTGGGTTTTTCTGGTAGAAGTCCAATCACTCCTTTGACATCAAAGTGCGAACACGTTTTTGCTCGGCGGTCAGCAGATGCGGCACCCACCTTGCTGAGACCTTCGTCATACCCAAATCTTCGGTTAGGATGTGGTGCACTCGGTCGACAGAGATGCCTGTTGTCTCAGCTATCTCACGCGTTTTCAAACGGCGATCTGCTAATACCAAATCGTGAACTTTGTCGATGTTTTCTTCAGTGACAGCAGTTGATGGCCGTCCGCTGCAAGGGTCATGTTTCACACTCTCTCTGCCAGATTTAAAAAGGGCTGTCCAGTTTTTCACAGTGGTGTACGAAGGAGCAGACTCTCCTAAAACTTCATCCATGTCAGCTTTGATTTGAGATGGGGTCAACCCTTTTTTCGTCGGGTATTTTATGACCGCATGAGTCTCCGTCTTCTCCATTTTTGACAAAGCATGTGCACACTGACTATCTGCTAAGCTGTCGTGGCAAAAGTTTTTGACAAATCAAGCGGAAATTGGTATCATATCTTTAGCAAAGATGGCTGAATTATTCCCGCCAAAAATTAAATTGATCGCAGCGCCGCATATAGGCAAGGCCGCAAACTTTCCGAACAGCCCTCGTACTATGAATGCATGCAAGCAATGACACTGATAACGAAAAGTGGGATTGTTATTTTCTTTAAAAAGTGGGCTAATTTGATCACCTTATTTTTAAAAAATTAATTACATTAATGCTATGTATTTAATAACATTTAGTAACCTTCTGCATGCAATATGGTGAAATTTTTGTGGGAATATTTTATTACAAGAATCAATATTAATTTTTTTGAATGAAAAGAAGTAATTTCTGCATAACAAATTGTACTGTATATATTGTGTGGGAATTCACAGATATCGCCTTCCGAATGAAATAATGGATAATCTTTTTTCCGAGTCATTGAGAGATGACCCAGTCAGCAATACTAGCTCCACTTATTTCTTCTCAAATATATCTAGTACTGTAACACTGTTGGTAATTTTGATCTCTCTCATTAATGAGAAGTGTCACTGATATGTTGTCCTACCATCATTAATGTAAATTCGTGTATTGTATAAAGTTTATTATTAATTTTGAAACATGGACTTAGTGGCCATTTAAAAACAACTGTGTCACTTTGTTCAAAGTAATCCCAATCTACGATACAGCACATCCAATCACAATTGTTTACTGACAAACAGATAATTGGAAGTCATCACTCCACAGGACATGTTTCCAATCTTCTCGAGCTCAACTATGATGATCCATGCATCATTTGAGTCAACGTTTAGCATTCACAATTGTTATTTTTGGTTTAAGACCAGCAACTCATCAGTGTAGCCTAAGCCTTGCAGTTCAGAATGGACGGTTTTATTGCATGGACACCATCTTGTCGAGGCATTAAATTTCTGAATTATTCTTTCTCACCATTAGTTCCAAGTACCCTTCAGTCTTCCTTCATCACTTTCTTCAGTCTGCCTGGGTGCTTCTTTACAGTTTTCTGGCCAGAATGCACAGTAGTATAACATTATTTACAGTGAATTTAGGACCTCTATTGCATACACATAAAGTGACATAACCAGAATCCAACAGCTTGTCCCCATTGGAATACGAACAGGTTAGCATTTCTAGGCACCAAGAGACCTTTTTAATCACATCAATCGTGGATTGCCCAGGTCCACAACAGAGGTAACTGGGTGGTGAGGGACAGGGCCCAACACATCCAGGATGGACCACCCCCTGAAAAATTCTTAGGGTTATTTTTGATTGCCTGGACTCAGCCTAATGTCTGAGGGACCCGAGATTAACACCTCGACCAACATCAGCCATCCAGTCGCCAATATCTAGAATGATTATTTTGGTATTAACTAAAAGAATATTCCAATGTAATAAAAGTTGTAACTAAAAATGGGTGCTTTAAAATGATGTTACATTTAACTTTTGACTGCTTTAAAGCATTGTTTTGGTTTCAATTTTTATTTTGGTACATGTAAATGTACAAACTTACATAAGATTTAATATTTTGCATCAAATTATACTATGCAATTACATAATTGTAAACAAAAATGAATAAATATTACCTGAAATTTGTTCTTGAAGGGCATCTACTACAGACAGGAGATGAAAGGTTTTCTCTAATGAATTATCTTGTTTACAGTAAATGCTAATGATAACAAATTCTAATTTCTCCATCTGTATAAAAAAAACAAAATTCAATTTAAATTACAAAGTTTAATAAATAATTTGTCAAAGAATTGTGTGAAAACTTTACAAGCTTGTTGCCACTTCCCTTTTTAATTAAAGTCGATTAATTTACCAAAGTTAAGCTATGCTCCTCTAGAGAATAGTGGAGTATTAACATAACAATAGTAGAGATAGAATTATGTTAAAGGAAATATTCAAAAACACAAACATATGATAATGTATATCAAATGTTAAATGATAATACCATTTACAACATATTTTCGAACAGAACAACATTACATTTATTATACAAAATGAGTGGAAGTACCTAGGCATTGAGAAATCACTATAATTTTTATATTTAAGGCTTAAAATTCAATGTAGACACCGATGACACATTTTTCTCCAATTGTGATGTGAACAGACAGCCAGTTCTCTGTGCACCCACTACCAAGACTCGTGGTCAGATTATGTTCAAATGACATTTCTTGATTGTTTCTGGATGGATTGCGGCATGACATCCTTTCACCATATGCCACTGTCTCTGCACGGCAACTATCAATTTCCACACCTCATAGCATGCGGCAATCTGTGGTCGGCTGTCTTTTTGCCACAGTACATGCAACTCTCTCAGTCGCTGCCCATACCACTGATGTGGATTTTTTATTAAATTCCATTGATGATGTACATGCAAATATAAATGTTATTACGATTGTATTATTATTACAAAAATTATAATGATTTCTCGTTTCCTAGTTACTTTCCACCCACCGTGTGAATGCCAATATTATACCAAAAACTCATTAGATTAGAATTGGGTTAATTAAGATTTAGACTTTGAATGCGTAAGTATTTTTAGACACAACTAGAAAACTTGTTCCAGAATGAGATTTGAATCCGGTTCTCAAATAGACTTGTTTAAGTCATATTTAGTTTAGTTAGAGCAGAGTTTTTAAGTTAATTATATCAAAACAAGGCACTTTGTACAGAATGAAAATACAGTAGAGTCTCTGTAATCTTACATATAATCAAATTAGCATGTGTCGGATTACAAAAGATTGTCAGATTACTGGATTTTGTATGTACGGTACATATCTTACAGTAAAAAAATGCAGTTGGTTCACAGGTTAGTTTATTGTATTAACACTTTAAACACAAGATTGGCCAAAACTGCCTTTATCTGTCAAGACAAAGTGGCCAATGAGAAAGTTATTTGATTGGTTTTGCTATACAAATTTTCCTTGTAACCTGAGGGGTTACAAGGAAAACAATTTCATCTCCAGGTATGTAGAAGAAGAAATTTTCAGAGCCTGAAAAATTAATGTTTTTGAATTATTTAATGCTTTCAATTTCAAAGCTACGCAGATTCAAGGTTGCATTTCATTTTTGATTTTTGAGACAAGAAACAATTACAATTGAAGATTGTCTTTAAAAATTGTCTGTGATGAAGAAGATTTATATTGATATTTAAGGCATTTAAATGAAAGTGCAACAAATTTTCTAACAGACTGAAAATTTATAAATTATTGTACACAATTAAGTATTTAAAGAATAAATCTGCAAGTAAATATAATTTTAAAAATGTCTTAAAGTGTATTTACTTTTCAAATTTGTTTCATTATTAAGATGTACAATCAATACTTCAGTTTTATAAAAAAACTTATATTTTGTTTGCATCATTCAAATAATATTATTCCATTTTCATTCCATAATACAAACACACAGTGTATTGCATCGAGATCAGGAGAATGTAAACAAACCATAAATTTGTGAATATTTACATAACTTGCGTAAGTTCTGTTGAACATACATGACGGTATACAATCAACAAGCTGCCATTAGCCATAAGTGGCATCGGAAAGCTTTTTACGACACAACTTTTCTGAGTGTCTCAAAGCCTTGGAGAACAATGGAGATCAAAGTGAGGAAAGAAATTGGCAGGGACTGTAGAGAGAGTTAATTGAACTTCTAGAGATTATGTTAACTTAGTTACATAGTTAAAAATGAAAAGCCTTCTATTTTAAACTTAAAAATTACTCACTCAACAAAATAATTGATATACAAAATCTTCCAAAAAGAATTCTACCATTTAAATTATTGTAATTATGTTAATTATTATCCAAGAATGTCGTAACATACAACAAAACATCAGTGAACAATCCGAGTTTCACGTTTACCCACGATAATTTCTCAACACGTGCACGTTGTGTCGCATAGCACACATCTGACCGATTCACAAATTCTTCCTACACTTGCTAAGGAATATCCATCATCATTTCTGCAATGGTAGCAATTCTATGGTTCCTGCAGACAACTTATGCTACGTGATGGTGATCAATTCCAAGTTTGCAAACTGCAAAATGAAAAACAACGCCTTCTCCATAGTAAAGTTGCCATTTTTATTTACGGCACTTCCTAGAGTAGTAGATGATGATACATTCGTACGTAGACAAGAGACAAACCTCGAACAGTTACTCTATCGATTGATGTACACCGCACACTTCTCAGATAATAATTATCAACATTATAGTAATTTAAAATGTTAGCATTCATTTCGGAAGACCCTATTTAATATGTTTTTGAAATGCTAATCTTTCATTCATAAATGCCTAATATTCAACTTGACAAAATTATAAAAACAACAAATTTATTTATAAATCATTTTAATTGATTTCTACAATGGTATTAAATTTAAAATACAAAACAAGTTATGTAAGCTGCAATAGTTTGGAACGATTCGGGTCATTTATGATACGTGAAAATTCTAACTGTCCATTTTACAGAGGGTTTTTCAGTTATTTTTGAATGCATTTATAGCCTTATTAGTGAACGAAGTAGCATGTGCTTCCAGTTACTACTGCACATGTGATATTCTGCTGATTCAAGTTTCAAAATCAACAAAGAATGTTTGAATAGTCTTTTCTTTCATTTTAGCATATTGACCTTTGAACCAGAATTGGCAATCCAAACTTTCTAAATGTCCAATATCTTATAGCTAAATCTGGAAGAGATTTTTGGAGGGTGGCATTTGTGTTTCTAAAGGTATGATTGGTAATGTTTTAAAGATGTCAGAATCACCAACAAAAGAAAACCAATGGGTTCCAAAGATGTGATGGCCACAGCGAGAACAAAGGAGGTTATTGGAAAAGTAAAGAATTCCTTTGGCATACCAAATACTCTGACCCATAGAGCATGAATAAAGAAGTACCGTCTGTCACATCATTCGTAAAGATATGAACCGGGACGTGCCAGTAAAGACTGATGTAAGTAAGTTATTCTGACGAAATGAATCTCAAGACCAACACAAGAGAGTTGCATGAAAGGCATTTGACAGGTGGAAGAAGTAAATTTTCTGTGACTTTGGGTGTACCTTCTCAATTGTAATGATACCTGCAAACTGTAAGGGATGTATATAGAAAGTAATATGGACCCTCAGCATAATAGATCAACAAAGGAAATGTCGGTGCAGTAATGCCAAATGGCCTGAGATTGCACAAAGATATTGCAGTCCACTAGTGTTCTGCAACCTTTTTCTACTTGTGGTGCACCCATGACTCAACACGGCACGCCAAAACGTTATTCCCCTCAAAAACGTATGTTATGATATTATTAATAGAATTACATAATGCCACTAACTTATTATTATTATTATTATTTATTGCAAACAAATATTCACAAATTACATTGGAATAAAGAATACCTCGTCCCGTAACCCACGGGAAAGAAGGTACCTATTTCCCCCCTTTACTGTATTAATTGCTTTTTACTTTCAAATAGTTCTCTTCTCCTCCCTTTTCCTCTTCTCAACAAGTTTCCAAATGAGCTTTGTGTACTAGTCTCAAAAATTTTATTAGGTAAATCCTGATTAACTAATGAATGATGTATATCTGATGATTGCTGCTGATTTGAAGATTGTTGTATGCCTTGAGATTGATGTATATCCTGCTTTTGCTGATCTGCTGTATTATTATTATTATTATTAAACAGACATCAACAACTGTGAGCAAATTTATTTTACATATACAGTAAACTCCGAATTATCCGTGTGCGGATTATTCAGTTTGCGGATTATCCGTGCATGAATTTAACTTAAAAAAATAATTATATGTGTATGTATTTTTTAACCCTTTCTAGATCATGTGATTTTCTGACCACACTTTGGTCACGTGGCATTTCACAGACTCCATTTTTTTCATAAAATTGTAAAATTATTGTCTTCGTTTCAAAAATTATTATTACTGTACATCTTTGTTTTCTTTATTTTCTCTACTTTTAAATAGTGTAAAATATTTTTATATTGACAGAAATGCTTTATTTACATCGAATTTAATGTAATTTGAAATGAAAAAATGCAAAAAATAAACATATCAAATTTCAATTCGCTGTAATTTATCTCCTGTTTCACCGATTGCCATTGGGTTTGTTTGTAAACGTGGAAGAAATATGACACTTTCAAGTGAAGTCAGTAGAAATTTCGCACTACTGAGAGGAAATTTGTCAACAGACCCCGCATTACCCTATCGCGAAAATCAATAAACGTTAATGTTTTATGACTCTACTTCAAATGCTTCTTTCTGAGTTGTAAATCGACTGATGGGAATTCGAGTATAACGTCATAATACAGTAGCTCTTAAAAAAATTCGAACTGATATTAAAAAATCATTAAGATTCCTGCAAACAAACCAAAATCACAGATTTTCTTAATAATAATGAGCATTAAACATGTTCAAATAATTGTCCGCCTTAGAAATGTATAATACTGTATGTTGTATTTTGGAAATAAATAATTATATCTGTAATTTGGATTATCCGTGCCACCTCTTCCCACCATTAGCCCGGATAATTGGGAGTTTACTGTAATTTCTTAGAATAGATAAAAATGCGTGGCTTGTAATAAAGAATAAACAATCATCATCTTATTTCATCAGTGCTGTGGCAGAGAATAAAATACAAGCATAAGAAACTCAGCTGAGATAAAAATGTATAAATAAAACTTGAAATTAACAGAAAATGTAAAACGAATATGAATATGTAAAATTAACAGAATATGTTCATGTTACACCTTTCACCATGTGACGGCACACCGGTTGCAGAACACAGGACTAGTAAACTAACTTTTACAAGATACAATAAGACATTCAAATGGGCATTGTGGTAAAAAAGGAAGTAGTAAATACCAAGTTTGCAAGTAAAGGTATAACCAACAGGTACCAGATATGGTGCCTAGGAAACACTCCAAGCATTAATGGTCATTTTCAATTATTGCATTTCCATTCCGACAGATGCCTCAGAATAAGCAAACATGATCCTTCATTTCAGAAATCTGTTACATTAGAGCCCATAAAAGTGATTGGCCATAGTAAATAAGAAAAATTTTAATTATTACAGAGATTAAAGGTTTGCTTCTTCCATAATGAAGATCGATTTGAAAAGTCTCTGTCAAACCTCTGGCAGACTGCAAATGCAGGTATACTGTTTAACTGTATTTCTGCTCAAACTCGCGACTCAAGCTCAACTGTCCTCTCCCTTTCCATTTCTGTAAAAGAAAGCCTTGCAGGTCGAAGGACAGACTTTAGTTTTGGGGATAGTTTTTTAAAATTCAAGTATTTTAATTAATTAAATCTCACAATTAACTGTGTAGATTATGGATGGAAAAGTGTTAATTTGTCATATTAACATTAAATGTTTTAACTTTTAATGAAAATGTGATGTGCCAGTTTATTTTCTAATGATATTTCCCTAGAAATAAGATTTTTAATTCAAATACAGAATGCTTTAAAAGAACATTAACACTTACACACAGAAGAATTGGATTAAATTGTATTGATGGGATATGGCAATGCAACACTTATGGTCTACCTCAAGGGAGGACTTTCTATGGGGAAACTGGCCCTCTGTTAGATACTAGATGTGTGAAGAAAATCCGGTAAACTCCATGTATCTAGCTCATTTATGAAGTGAAAAACCACGACTGACTACAGGTGTTTGGTGGTTTTTATTCTTCCGCCCACTACGGTGGGCATATTGAGGTGCACAGTCATCGTGGCAGCACTATCAGAATCACACTTTTTCAAGAAATTCATAATTAGGTTGCGACTTCTTGCGCATATTGGAGAATTAGGTGGACGACCACCCGTCGCTACAAATCTGATATAAGTCACTTCTGTATTAGCATTAACATTTTTTTTTTTTGTTTTTTTGAAGCATCCTGCATATTCAAATTTGATTTGAATCTATCATTTATATTAAAAGTTCTTTAAGAGTAGAATTTTTAATATAGAAATTATTATTTTAATAATATTTTTAAATAATTTAAAAACTTCTAACCTTAAATCTTCCCATAATTACAGAATTGATCTCTTCGTATCCGTTCAGTTTTTCTTTTTCCAATGTCAGCGGCGAAAGACTGCAGAGTTCCAAACCTCGACTCGTATCGTACAGGAACCCACTCAACATCTGAAAATTAAAGAGTTCCAGTTAAAAGAACAAAAAGACAAATTAATTGCTTTTATTGTTTTTTTATCTACTGGATAAATACTGCAGTTTTTTCTTTCTTCATTTAATACTTTGAGCCACTGTACATCTAAATCATAGCGATAAACACCTTCAGCATCAGCTACTGCAACACGCGTTGATTTTATTGTTATAAAATATGGGCTATAGCTTACAGGAAAAGTTGTAATTTTGACATCAAAGATTTAACACATCCTCAGTTAAAATAGAGATGTGTTAGATCTTTTCTGCATTGAAAAACTTTCTACAACAGAAAAGGTGACTTATTTATGATCAAAAATGGACTAAAAACAGGAGTAAGGGTCGATTTTTCCTTTTGTATTGTTTTATAGTTGTAACGTAAGCCAACTAGATTGACACAATTATAATCATCAAAAATGAAAATCAAGCCATCATCAAAAATGCAGCACATCTGGCAAATTGTAACAAATAAATATCGTCTGCCAATACCATATTTGCATAATGAACAAGAGAAGAAATTACTATTATTTATATAAGTAGTTTCGGCTTTTAAACATAAAATGTTCCGAAATTTTTTGGTTGCCACTAAAGTTTTTACACAAAGAATTGCCAGCCTAACCGAAAAAAAAAAAAAAAAAAAAAAAAAAAAACAAATAGTTTGCAGGACTCTTCCATCCTGTCATCAGATTCCATAACATTCAAAAAGAAAAATTCAAACAAGGTCTTACTTAAATTTTCTACTTTGAATGTAATAGGATCTGACGACAAGATGAAAGAATACCGAAAAATGTTTGATCCAACACAAGACAGATCCGTTAACCAGTTTAGCATTTGTGTATTTTTGTTTTTTGTGTCACCAGAGTTGGCGCATTCCAAAACTAGATATAACCTTTGGCTTTATTTATTTGTTTTAAGTTACGGCAATGCAACACTTGGGCGATCTGTCTAGGGAGGATGCCTTCCAGAAGGTCTTTTTAAGGGTAATTAGCTCCTATTCAGGCACAGACATGGAGAAAACCTGGAAAACTCCATGTGGAGTTTTCNTGAAAATCAAGCCATCATCAAAAATGCAGCACATCTGGCAAATTGTAACAAATAAATATCGTCTGCCAATACCATATTTGCATAATGAACAAGAGAAGAAATTACTATTATTTATATAAGTAGTTTCGGCTTTTAAACATAAAATGTTCCGAAATTTTTTGGTTGCCACTAAAGTTTTTACACAAAGAATTGCCAGCCTAACCGAAAAAAAAAAAAAAAAAACAAACAAATGCTAAACAGTTTGCAGGACTCTTCCATCCTGTCATCAGATTCCATAACATTCAAAAAGAAAAATTCAAACAAGGTCTTACTTAAATTTTCTACTTTGAATGTAATAGGATCTGACGACAAGATGAAAGAATACCGAAAAATGTTTGATCCAACACAAGACAGATCCGTTAACCAGTTTAGCATTTGTGTATTTTTGTTTTTTGTGTCACCAGAGTTGGCGCATTCCAAAACTAGATATAACCTTTGGCTTTATTTATTTGTTTTAAGTTACGGCAATGCAACACTTGGGCGATCTGTCTAGGGAGGATGCCTTCCAGAAGGTCTTTTTAAGGGTAATTAGCTCCTATTCAGGCACAGACATGGAGAAAACCTGGAAAACTCCACATGGAGTTTTCCAGGCTTGGGACCTTATACAAAAATTCTTCCCATCACTATTATTAAGTGCGATGATGTCCGCTGCTACATAAATACTCTATCCGACAGAAATTGAACACATTTGTTTTTAAAGACTCTCATTCTATCTTATGTTATTTATTCTTTGACCTGAGGATGACAATTAAAATCTTCGAAAATATTTGTTTATCTTATTACTGTCTATATATTTGTTACGTTTTCTGGTGTTTGTGAAGGTTTTGTTAATCCAAAAGAATACCCAATCAATAACTGGTTTGTTGCCAAGTGTTGTTTAGCATTTTCTGTTTAACATTGGAAATTGCAAGGATTATACTTTCTTTGAAAACAGTAACATTTCATCACATAATCCCACTAAAAGACATCAGATGGGGTTACGTTGGCTAATCTAGGAGATTGGATGTCGGTCCAAGAAACATCGTATCAAGCAAATTACGTAAGGAAACTGCCTAGCAAGGGGATTCATCATCCCATTGAAACAGTACCTGGCAGGAAATCTTATCAATTAAGCATTTATCATGCAACTAAAGAAGCACGTGTCAAGGTCCATCAAGGAACGTCGGCCTTTGTATTAATCTGTTTTTATTAAAAAATTTTGAGTTAATCCTTTTACTGCAAACTGCATTTCGATACACTGCTTCATTTTTTAAAAATGAAACCTTATAGTAATGTAGATTTTCCTTGGACACACCTTACTACTACTATCAATTTTTACAGATTATCTGAAAAAGATAGCAAACAATTTCCAGTCATTATCTCAAGATTAAAAATAAAAGAAGAATACTTCATTCCTAAAGAAAAATAATTAAATCCTTTATTATCGAAAAATAAAACCATTTGCGTAATGTATAAAATCACACTTACGGGATGGCCCAAAAGTCAGTCATTGCAAAAAAATGTTAACAGATTTTCGGACCATCCCACATATGAATTTAATATAATTATTTGTATAAAAACTATCATTTTAAACACCAAACAAGAATAAAATAATGCTTTATTATAGGAAAATTTTATAAAAATATTTTCATATCTANTATATGCAGAAGTTATATAAATGGTACTCGTTTAATAATATACACAAGAATTAAATGAGAGCATTTAATTCTTATGTATATTATTAAAGATATGCTAAGTACATAATAACATATTGTGCGTTAGTAGTTGAAGGTAAATATTCATAATATCGGTTACTGTAGTACGTAAATTTATGCTCGCTTTGTTATTACAGTACTTTCTCGGCTGTTATATATAACACAGGGAAAGTATGGCCATCGATCGAAAAATTATCCACTAAGATTTTTCATTTTTTTGGACTCGGAGGGCCTCGAAACATCGAAAAATGCAAAAAATTGGGGTTGTTTTCTTTATGTATGGATGTTAGTGTATGTGGGGGGGGGCACGATTTTCTTCATCCAATTTGAAGCGTAATAACTCCTGTGCCTTTGGTCAAAAATTTTTGAAATTTTGCAGGGAGGTTTGTGTATCAGGAGCATTGATGCTATTAAAATTTGGTGATTAAAGGTCGAGGAAATGAGAAGATAGAAGAGATTCTTATTTCGAGTGAGTCAGATTTAATGAAGTTATTTACAATCTTTTACAATTATAAAATTCATATCTAATCTGAAAATGTTACACATAAATAAGTGGTACAATTCTCATGCCACTTATTTACCTTACTACTGTATATTTTTAGACTGTCGTAGTCTTAATACCCCCACATTGGGGTTGGAATGGCTACAACATTTGTAACTTGTGTTGTTTTGCTCTAAATAATCAGTGTTTAAAATAATTTTATCGGATAAAAAATACTGTTACGAAAATTAATTTGTTATTCATTACTAAATTAACTCTGGCAACTTACGACTTCGTTTCCACGCAGACAAACATATGCCATTTACATGCAAAATAACTATTTAAATTAATAATTTAAAGTTTAATCATATCATGTCATTACGCAATTATTATTTTTATTTGACATAGATTAAAAAGAGAAAATGTCAAGGGAAAAGATAAAAAGGAAATAAACAATACGCCAATTCAATAACAAAAAATAAAGCTTCCTCCATCTTGAAGGAAAATGAATTCTTTCCTGTTTAGAATTATGTAGTTTCTAGTCAATTTTATTGTTTCTGTGGGCAAATTTAAATTTATTTCTTCTCTTCCAATAATTTGAATGATTAGTCGATGAATTCGAGATATTCTGCTGATAACACATCAAAAATACGATAATATGGTGGCAACTTTGAAGCAAAATGCAAATTATCGAATTAGTTTGTTTGCTTTAAACGGTTTTTATTGTCTTCTTAAATTTTAATCGTCGATTTGAAACAAAGGAAATTAATTATCGTCTCAAATATTTATAAAAATATATACAGAAACTCTTCGGTTATCGTCGGCAAGAATCAATGCACTCTACTTGACAGATCAAACGTAAACACTGATAAAAGTTTTATTAAATATTTAACTAGATGTCGGTTATCTGCAATTGCACTTTCCTCATTTAATATTTTGCAACTCTGTTAATGTTTTAACAACATAAATACCCCGAAAACAAAATCTAGGACATGTAAAATCGACTTTGAATTTATATTTTAATGAATTATATTATTGGAAAAGTATACTTTACAGTTTGATGTGTTTAAATATATTTTTCCTGCTGTCTTTAATGCGACTAGTCATTTTGTCAATTGTTATCTTTATTAAAGCTTGCGTGTGTCGGCAATATCAATCGCCTCTTTGACGCATCCGAACGAGTGTGAACTTAACAAGGCGTGGAGAAAATTCGGAAAGATTTGCATAATTCTAAATGATGAATTTAGAGGATTTAAATATGAAAATACTTACAAAATTTATTTATATTAAAGCTATAAAATATTATAATTAATTCGTAAAGTTATATTTGAATAATTAAATGACCGTAATTTGATTAAAAAATAGCAACAAATGACTTACTTTATGATGTTTTCCGGCCGTGTTATCAACAGGTGGCTCGGCAGGTGGTGCAATGTACTTCCATTTTCCTCTTTCTCCGCTCCAATTTTCCACGTTTGTCAGCTGCGGATCATTTAATTCTGCACTAATCTGCACAAATATCATTAAAATTAATGTATGGTAATTGTAACCATGTAAATTAATGGACGCAATGCATTAGAAATTATTCGAATTGATTTTTTCCCATTAATTTAATACCCAATTCTTTTGGATAGAACTAAGTACACTTGGATCTGCGCCAGAATCAACTCTAATGATAACTTGACCCTTCGCTCGGAGAGAAACTAGTACTTTTAATGACTTATTTACCTGTCTTTTTATGTTCTACCGCAATTTTTACAGACAGACATATAATTTTCCTTTATAATTAAAAAATAATGAATTTAAATATGATTTTACTCTTAATTAATTAATAAGCTTATATATACAACAAACATTTTTATAGAAGGTCAGAAAAGTTATTTTCAAAGCACACACTGCACTGCAGTTGACTAATCACATTTAGAATGTGACTTAATTGGCTTGAATATACATTTTTTCTATGCACAAGCATCTAATATCATCAAAATAGCTCAAAAACATCAAAGGAGACTCTTTTAAGCTTACAGAATTAATATTTTTACCATTTAAACTACTCATTTATGAAAATTTGACTCTCGAATTGTGTTAAATCTTTGACGAACAATGTTTGTCGAGGAGTGCATCGTCGTTAGACGCAGGATCAATTATACATATGTAAAGTTAAATCTTAGAGTCTCGTATTATGGCTTAAGGAGCTTCGCAATCAAGGAGAAGGGCCAGAACCGAGTCTAAATTCATCCTCATTTAGACAATCATTACCTGCAACAACTACAAAATATTTACTGTTATAATTAATTTAAGCTAGATTTGTCTTTTCTTAAGCTTCTTACGAGATGTTTAATTACTAATTTAAACATTTGGAATTCCCCAGAATATCTTTTTAGATGTGCAGATATCAACGACGAGAAATTTAAATAGCCATCGCTCATTCCGATTCATTTATCACTTTCAATTGCAGACGAAAATACAGTCCTAGAAGGCAATAAAATACAACTTAAAACTGTGGATAACAGGCTGCAACCCTAATGAATGCCATTCGAAATACTAGAATAGTCCACATGTGATTAAAGTTAGCGTTTATAAGGTACAGTTTTGTCGTCGGCCACATTAAAAAGTGATTTTCGTTCTTACATTAAATGGCAATTCTGTCGTAAAGTATCAGTAATGCAATATTAAATAACTGCAGTTCTAACCATTATCTAGATTTAGAAGTTATTAGAGAAATAATATCAAAATTGTAATGAAGTTCTACTCGTCTTTGTTAATGGAATAATGTAGAATGACATTTATGTAATCCATCTTCAGTATATCAATCATCAGGAAGCCTGATATGTATACAGAAACATAACCAAATGATCACCTTATATAATTGGGCTATAACTCCGCTAATTTAATGATTAGTAATAAGTAATTTGCTACTAGAGGTAGACATTGGGCACCATCTCTTAACTAAATTAATAATACAGTAATCATTTTAATAATCCATCTTCATTGAAATTTTTAATCAAATTAACTAAAAAGCTAATAATTAGATTGTATATTTTACCAGTTTAATAAGTTTAGAAGTATCGTTTCACTGACTGAAGTACAATCTAATATTGGACCATTTAAATTCATAGATAAACAAAGTAATTGAGCATCGCCACATTTCCTTGGGACCGCGAGTCGTAAATCAATTAATTGAAATTTGGCATAGAGGTAAGACAATTATCGAGTTATTTATAAATAAACTTCATATAAAGCAGAATAGTCGTTAAGAAAAAACAAAAAATTATAATCTACAAGTCAAAATTCAATTAAAAAAAATTCAAATTTTCTCTCTTTCTGTAAGAAAAACAATAATATTTTACAACCAATATATATTTTTAACTTGTATATATTATGATTCTCTGCAGTACTTGACCTCTAACATCTTGCTATAAATCACGTCGTGCATAAACATATGTTTCCTCCATCGTACAGCACATTACACACATTTTTCATCGTGAGATTTTATTTATTAACAGTTTTGCAACAAATTATGTAATGCTTTTAACGTGTAAATGCTTAAATTATTAATGAGATGTGCACTTATTTCAATAAATTAAAAAAAATATCTCTCTCTTTAAGTATTGACCTAATTAACTATCGAAGACAATTTTGAAACGTCGAAATCTAATTAGAGCGGCAGAGTCAATGTCGTTAAGCGGCCAAACGCGTGCAAAAATAACCCATAAACAAGATAGAAATCTCATTAAAACTTTGTAAATTATACTAAATTGTTAATGATTCTGTAGAAAGTTTAATAACTAGATTAATTCGAAATTGTAGGTGGGCGTATCGCTAGCAATTAGTAATATTAAATAATCGAATATTGTACACGAGTTAAGTTTTTAACTTGCGTACAATATTCTAGACGCTTGGAGAGGAGTACGAATTTAATATCTGAATATGTTAGTGGATATATCATCCAACTTCTCCCACTTGGATCTTTTCCAAATGTAAAGCTTGCAGAATAGCATATAATCGTCTAAATTACGTTATTCGTCACAAAATAATAGAGCAGTTTTAACGGCTGATTTACCACAGAAATTATTCTATTGGCATAACTTAGACATTTCGTTTGCATTCTTAAATATACTCATTTGAATATTAACAAACAGAAATGTAATTTTTTTATGTTGAATTGATACAGACTTGAAATAATACTATTAATTCAAAACTTGAAGTTTACTGTAACTTCAAGCATTTGGAATTAACGAGTCGATTTAATAAACATATTGTTAAGTTAGTTTAATAGCAATGCTAGTCTAACTTTACTCTTTTAATCCGAAAAGGTGAGCAGCAGGCAAAAGGAGACTACAATCCTACAAATCATCCACTCGGATGATTTATAGGATTGTAACTTTCTCTACACCTTCCTGTCCAGACGCACACTTTTTGCTACAGATAAACTTGTGTCTCTTCTAGTGTACTTCCTCATATTCTTTCTCTGACTCAACACCTTACATTCAGATACTTCTCTACTTATTCTGACCAAAACTTTCTCGGCCTACCCCTTCCTGTGTATACGCTCTTCAATAATTCTCCTTTCATTCTCTCTGGGTCATTATAGGGCCAATTTACTCACCTTCTGAACCATATACTCCTCTCAAATACCTCACTTCACATGCAGTGGTGTGACTCCCGTAACTTTTCTGCTATGTTCCTCTCGAAACATAATAATTTTGCAATTGAATGCCTCGGTTAAGTGACAAGACTGTTTTAGTACGCAGCACACACCAGCCTTGTATGTCAAGTAACTTCTTGTGGTTGTAATGGTTACTTTTATATTTATCATTTATCAATATTGTAATAAATCTCTAAACATTCCTGACATTTATATAGAGTTAATTCTATTATAATTTGTAAAAATTACCCTTTGTTATTAGTGTCACATGCTACACGTGTGTACTGACAGCAGGTGTAGACAGTCTCGTGTTGTGTGCAACACTATCAATGTCATACGTATTCTAGAAATGACAAATCCTCCAATATTTTGAGTTTTTATTATTATTTATTAAAGAGTACAAAATGCTGTTTGTTTAATGGCATATTTTATTTTGGGAAACAATAGTTTTCGTGCACTAATTTAATTGCAGTGCATGTCTATTAATGTATCTCAATTGCAAGTGTATAATAATGCACACACTGACAAACACGTGTATACTGTCAACACGGTATAGTTTAAATTGACTTGTATATATTTTGTAAATAAGGCAAGAAATTAAGACTTTAAATTAGCAAAACAACGAGTTATTGGCACTTGTTGTCGACAATTTAGTAGCAGGTCGAGTGCCAATGTTGCGAAATAAAAATAAAAAACACAATACAAAACCAGTACTTCGCCACAATGTATTTAACTCACAGAAATTTTCGGCAGCATTTATACTTTTAAACACTTTAAACTGCAAAATTCTCAATTTGATCACACAAATTCATTGATAAATTTAAGAAAATTAACCTTTATTTGTTCAAATTTTAAAATAATGCACATCTAATATGCAAAATAAAGCTAAACAACCAATAAAATAACAATATTAAAATTAATTTATAAGCTAAAATGTACTTACGAGAGCTAAGGCATTGTCGGAAATTACTTCGTGAACGGCGACCAGGCTTATTCTAAAGAAAATAAAGTTTTTTAATTACTCAAAGTAAAATCTAACATTTACCGTTTACATTTACACATCGTCAAATATTAATTTGTAAGAATTGTCACATTCGATAAATGAATAGGTCTTGCATAATGCAAACAGATTTATGTAGTTTATTATCGTTAATGGTTCTGTAAAATGTGGACGTATTTACTCTTCCGTGTGTTTACTACAGGATCGGATTGTTGATAACATGAATGTTAACAGGACATATCAATCAGTAAATGTATTATTTTTATTGTGATTTATAAACTAATTTGTTCCTCTGTCTACGCAAAATATTTCATTAAATATTTATACAATAAACACCTGTTTATTTTAACATTTAATCTAAATAAACCTAATTAAAATGATTAATATTGACAACAGGACATATCCCCGAATGGGCTAGGATATCATATGCGGCACAACTTTTGACCTTTTGTAACTTATAAATTAACTGCAATAAGCTGCATTGACCATCAAATTTTTTAATATTTTATAAACAGGTGACTATTCTAAATGAACTCGGCAATCGATACTTGTAATTTAGTTTAATACTTTCGCAATATAACTGGAATGACAACAATTGGAAGCAATCGCTTCGAAATATCGTTATCTAGGGTAACGAAAGTTTCGTTGCGCGGGATAAAGTAACGTTTATATCTTTCGTGCAATATTTTGAAACAATTAACTGAATGTTAGCTTTTCTAGTGACAAAGAAAAAAAAAAATTAATTATTTTCTAGTGTAATTTTTTTCTGCATTATCATAAAACGATGCATCTAAAATTAGTCAGACACACTTGGCGCAAGTTGCAAGATCTTTTTATATTTCGCGAACTACTTACAAAAATTTTTCTGTACACTTTCCTAATTTTTTACGAATCATAACACAAAGAATTTTGCTAATTTGTCTTTAGCAATAGCAAAAAGTAAAGATGAAACGAAATTCTCTGCATATTATTATGACATACAAGAGTTTCTCAACGGTCAGTCAAAAAATGCATCATTCCGACGAAACAAATGAATTACAAATAATGACATGTAACCATTCCAAACTAATTTTAACCTTTCTTAAAATAGTCTTGGTTAACAGACTTTTTGACCACCCCATATATAAACAATTAAAACTTAGTAAACAAAGGCTACGTTAACATTTTGCTGTTGAGAAGCAATTTTAAGTGTTACAACGTTACTATACATCCATACATTAATAATGCTTAATACGGACAAAGTTCTGAGTATTAACAAAACAGATATTTGCACACAACGTGTAGAATAATGTGTATAAACGTCACTTCTAGGAACAAAAAACAGTGTTTAAAAATGTCTCTTGCATACAAAACATGCAACTAGTATAGTTAGAAGCCTTGTAATGTATATAGGAGACTACAAAAGAAATGTAAACACATACATAATTCAGATTTTCAGTAATTATATATTAATCCTTAGACAAGATAGCAATGCAACTACACCCTTATCCAAAGTTAATATGCATGTATCAATCACATTTCCGACAGATCGGATAATTATCAAATTACATCAAGTCACAGATAGAAATCGATACAAATTTATTACTTCATTTTTATGAGCATTACTTTAAGATGTTAATAAAAGCAGATTTGTATAATAATCCGATAGTAAGTAGTCAAAGCCTTGGGACCAGAATGCATAGATGGATACTTTTTGCCCAGAATTATTTTGGTGTGCAACATACCAAGTCAAAATGACTGTGAACACGCAGCCTCCTTGCAGAGAAATTTTGGTGTGGAACATGACAATACATGGGTCAAATCGAGAGCAAACATGCAGCCTCCTTTCCGAGAAATCTGGTGAATATACCAGTGGAAACGAATGCAAATATGCAGCCTTATCACAGAGGAATATCAATGCCTTATCTACCTGCGAGAAAAATGTGCAATCTAGTCCAGTCCCCCAGCTTCCCCACAAAATAAATATCGATCCTTGTGTGCTGGCGCAGAATTCCATGCGTAATTTCGAGTGAAAGAACATCCGTCCACACGTTTTGGCCTTTATTTTATACACAAAAATTAGACATTCTTAAACTGAAAAAGTTTCTCTTACAGACAATACTAAAAAAATCCAAGCAAACTTATATAATCCATTAAATATATACACGTCTGTCAAGTGGATAGCAGAATACACTATTACTGACTACACCATATTACATAGCACTTAAAAAAGTGCAGTTTGCTGTTAGATAGATCAAACAGCCAGAATTTACTAAATATTGTTATATTACGGCATAATAGCCCATAAATCCCGATACTTGTCCTTAATGATGCTCGAAGACGACGTTGCTTAAACAAACGACACTTCTGCAACCGTTTTCAAAATTAAAAATGGGCAAAACATCCAAAAGAATTTAGATTGAGTAGGCATTTTACTCATTTAAATACTACGGGTCTTTAAGCATAAATCAATTTTAAGTTCTGCAATCAATAATGAGTTTAAAATCGTTAAAAACTCAGTCAAGTCTTTAAATATACCGAATTTTGACGAGGTTTTAATTATGTTATTAACACACAAAGCATCCTTCCTTGTTAAAATATAGAAACTATTTGAACAAGTATACGAGAAAACAACAATTTTTTTCCATTAACGACGAACATGTTTTGGTAAAGCACTAAGCTGGATCACATTAGGCAAGATAAGTGCTTCCTGTGTAACGTCGGGAGCATCCTCCTACGACCATTTGAAAGTTTTTATCTCTGCAACAGGCATTAAAACTGCATTTTCTCTTTTCCTTACCGAGAATGGGAACAAAAAAAAACATGAGTATCTTAAGTAATTTTGAGATAAAAATTAAAGAAAATTGCGTAACGGTAATTTTATCCTAAACTTTTCTACGATCAAACTTTGTTTTCGGGAGGCAAATCATCAAGATGCCGCAGAAATACTTAAAGAGCATTAATTCGCTAGTTAGGCGTCGCAAAGATTAACTCGACAGTTAACAATAGAAAAAATAATTTTACGACCGACAAAAATCCATCCGCCTTTATAAATTTTAATATTTAAATTTAAAACAATGGCAAAAATATTTAGGAATATCATTTGTATAAAATATGACAGTAGCTGCCATGGAAACATGACTATTTTAGATTCAGGAAGTAGTTTTTTTTTGTCTATAAATAGTCGCCTTATCTACATAATTTTTCCTCCCCAAATTAAAAATAAGAATAAATTTAATTATAAGATGCAGATTTGATAAAGATAAAAATTGTAAATATAATTAAATTAGAGAGCAAACTCGGTACGAATTAAACACGCCGATTAGCTGAGTTGAAACGTGTGCTTCCGAGTCTCAAGGACAGCCGTGTTTTTCTCTTTCTAAGCTTTTCATTGTTCTTTAAAAATAAAAAAAAGTTTACAGCGCATCTTTGTTCCCTCTTTTGAATCATTTCAACTTGTTTAAATTACGTACAGTTTGTTTAGACTAATTAAATAAAATTTAAAATTAATTAATTCATAAATGAATTAGAAATTCTCATGATAACTAACCAGAAAGAATTCGTTTTTCTGGCTAAATATCGGCGATTTAATATTTGCAGATATTGAGAGCGCGGTCGAATCAAAAGCCGGTCGCAACAGGTACACCCAATCAACATTTTATCGTGTCGTTAACTGAATCCTATGCGTCCAAAATAAAATGGAATCTGTAGAATTAGTAATTAAGGAGTAAACGATCGAGTAGCTTTACATCGCGGAGCATATCACAAAAAACACGCCAATCTCCAGATTCCGCTACTAAATCTGAACGACCAACATGCAAAAATGGCAAGTCTACAAAAAAAGTAAATTCCATAAATGCACTCTGTTGGCACTGGAGTGAGTATTAATTGTTGCCTCAACTACATGAAGTTTTTTTTATATCACAAATATTTACAGTTAATGGTCAAAGGTTTAAAAAATTGGCTTTAAACTTAGGAGAATACGTTTTTTTCTTTTATCGAACGAAGCTGTAATGTCTTGGAACCCAAACCGTTTCAAAGATAGTATAATTTTAGCTTCAAACACACACACAAAAAGAACAAAATGAATGAAACAGTACTTAAAACCTTATCTTAGTTGATTTTTTACACTTAATAAGCAATTTAATTCAAAATTAAATACAAAACATCTGGCTTCCTGTCACTTTCGTGATTCTGTCGAGGAGCTTCCTTCGTGAATACACAACCCCTTGTCCTGGCAGATTTTTTCTTGCTTGCACGTTTTGATCACGGATAATGTGTTATCAATCCTTTCAGAGCTTACTGTATTTTTAAAGCAGACTCACAAACTGACTTTTTGCAATGTTACAAAAACAATAATAACAAAAAATAACAAACCTTTCCAAATGGCACGTTTAAGACTGTTCTGCACTTGTGCATTTGTAGACGGTTTCCCAAGCACTTACGTTTACAGCAAACACAACATTTTTAACATTTACAGAAAGCAGACTAACATACGTAGAATTAAAATCTTCACATTTGCAAAAGAATAGTGCATTTCATTCCTCATTCGAGTCAACTGCTTGCAAAGCTTAGCATCTTATTTCGATATAAAATGCCAATTTAAGAGCATTATCGCTCTCTACTTAAGCTACGTTTGCAGTGATATAGAGATTTCTAGGAAGTAGAAATGAACTGCCAGTCTGTCCACGTTCGGCAGCCATCAGACCGGTTCCTCAAGAGTTGAAAATATCTCGACTTCTGCCAAACTTTGATTTGTTTGATTGATCGACTTTTCATTACCAACTTTTAATCCGATCGCATTCTAATCTGATTTGTGTCGCGTAGTTCTATGCAAACTACATTTTGCTTTGATTACCCTTTATTTTGTTTGTACGACAGCCCAAACATGAAGCCATTTAGGAGGTTTAAATTCAAATTTAACAATCAATTCCACACTGGCAAAATAACATTCGACAAATTAATAAGTTAATGTAAATTAATGTTATTTCTAACAAGCACAAGTGGAAAAAAATTAGCTCGAATAGTCTCAAATATTAAAATGTCATCTAAATTAAAAGTTTAACACATTGCAAATGATTAGTAAACGACTTACAATATAAATTTTCCGAGAATGAGTTTACAAAAAACACAGCAAACTATAATTAATTTTCGATTACAAAACTTTAACACTTGCAATTTCACTTTGCAATGTGTTTTTGTTTCTTTTTCTACTATTCTGAATTATAAAATATACATTTTAAAGCAAAATCATGCAACTAAATAGTATATAAAAAGAAAATCTGAAAATATAGTAATGATGTTGCGGGTTACTGAAATGTCATTACAGGTTTCTGCAGAGTTAATGCGATCCAGCAGAAAGTAGTCGACCTACATAACACACAATACACGAAAGTGTAATTTTATACATTGCAAGTTAATCATTTTTGTCATATTTGTAATTATGTATTCAAAATTTTTAATACATTTAATACGTATGCTTTCGTAAATGCTACACTTTCACTAGCTAAACTAATGACTGGAAGATTATTGTAAGAAATTTGCCTTTGCAAACAACATGAAAATCAAAAAATAAACAAAATGGGAGCTCTTGCAAATGGATTTATACATAGTAAAGTTGTTATATACGGACTGCGTATGACACTGTAATGAATCAGAATGAAGACATAGGAAAATGAGAAATACACATTTTACTGCCTGTGCTCAGCATTCACATCAGTACTTCACTCTTTCTATTGATGCCATTCACATTCTTTCATATTAAAATGCCGCATTCTACAACTTCGTAATCGACTTCTTTTTCTGCATTGTTTGAGACGGGAGCATCGATTTCTGAAGTTTATTGTCAGGGGAACCTCAAGCAGTCTCATCTCGTAGAGTGTAGTTACTTTTCTATAATTATATGTTACATTTGTAACCAGCTATCAGTCATGTGGGTGTATAAGGACTTCACTATGCACACTGTTTATAAACAATAATAAAACTATTTGCATTATTTGGAATTTAAATAAAAATCCTAGTTACCACTTTAATGTTTTATATAGGACACTAGGACAAAAGTAGAACTATGTTCGCAAAGTCACTGCAACTTTCAGACCTCTCTTAGGTCTTTTTCCCAGGCTTTAACTGATTGGCAAAAACTTTATTATGCCAATTGGATGTTTTGGATCTCTGCTCCAAAATTTCTATTGGTAGAAGTCAAATGAAACCAATGACTGAATGTCCAAAGACGATGTTTCATTGGGTTTTTTCATCCAAATCATCAACGTCAACTATGCTGCTTCTTTGTCCACTTAACTCTCTTAACCCAATTGGCAATCTCTCTTTCTGGCAGGTATGTAAAATTTGACAACCATAAAACTAAATTAATGTATATGGTGTGTCCTCTTTCCTTATAATATAATAAGATGCTGTTATTTACATCTCTTACCTGTGTAATCCTCATGGTTCCGTATACATTGTTGAAGGTAAAAAGCTTTGGGATCTGACAACAGAACACCACAACGCTTCTTTTGTATTTTAATAACTATTTGGTCACATAACTGCCGATACTCGTATAATGTTTAATAATTCTAACAGAACATGTGGGGGAAAAAAAAACAATAATCATATTTATTTTAAATTAACGTATTAAAGTTTGTTGTTCTGTTAACTTTTATCATCAAACAGTCATAATATGTCTCAATGTACTGCAACAGTTTACACAAAGATAATTTATAGGAAGCAAGCAAATGTTTACGTCTGTGTTTTTTGATGGTTTTCTAATAGCAGCATACCAATTTTGTAATTTTTTTTTTCTAGTTTTGCCAAAATTGCCAAACTACACAGCAGAACTTTCTAATGTGCCAACGGAAATTCTTAGGACCATATTATTATTTGGAAAAAATACATCGGTGCACCACATTATATACTGTATATATAATAATTTACTTTTTAACAAATTGAAAAAAACATTGTCATTTAGCACACAATTTCAAGAACACAGTTTGAAGTTGTGGAGTGTCTTCGTTTTGCGATTTTATAACTTAATTAAACAATATAAAAATGGTTAATTAACCATTTTTATATTGTTTAATTAAGTTATAAAATCACAAATTATATATTGCTTAATTAAGAACTATCATTATTTATTATATGAATGCAGAGTCAATACTTGTTATTCTATACTAACACACAAACCATTTGATTGAAAAATAATTTAAATCACAACCTTAAACCACATATCAGTATGCACCATTTAAGTACACACTACAGCTCACTTAACAATGTATCTCTTGGAGAGTATTCTGGTCGATAAGTGCTGCACACCAATAATGCGGTAATTTAAACTAGTGTATTATTTAACCAAAACAAGCAAGTTTCCTTTAAAAGAACATTTGCAAATGGATAATAAATGAAGTTTAAATTTATTCTTAAAATAATCTATTTCTATCAGTTGGAAACCCACATTATCAACTGACATGGTTTTGATTGAGTGGCGACACGATTACTAGTCCATGGATCAAATCACGACGACAGATAGCCGGTCTTTCGGAACACAGATAATAAAACAGATATTTATTTATAGATCAAATCTATAAATCAATGAAAGAAGAAGTAAACTTTTAGTTTGTCTTACGGCAAACGGTCTCAGATGAATCAGAAATGGATCCCATTGACCGATATACCAATAAGTGAGAATTTGTCTGTTCTACTCATAGCCACGGTGAAAACTGGTGCGACATTTCAAAGTTGATGCAAGATGCGTCCAACAAGTAATGGATAAATTGCTTTATGAATTGATCTAAGATGCCTTTTGCTTCATTCTTGGCATTTATAAATGGCAATTTGCAATACAAATTTTGTAGGATGTCAATTATCCTGTCGGGCTTTGACTAAATTAAATTATCAAAATTTTTTTTTCTTCATGTCTTAAAAGCATTTATCTTTTGCAGCTGTAGAGTGTATCTATGACAGCATTAAGTAATTTAATAATTAGGAGTCAATTTGTATGAAGGACGGCTAATCGGAGAGGGATTTATTTAAAATTAAGATAAATTACGCTGGTTGATTAATCAATATTATGATTGGCTCCAATTTATTAGAAGTCTAAATTAATGAAATGCTCTAAAATATTAAATATAAATACAATACTCACCCATTTTCGAGAATTGTCCTACAGACAACCTCCCTGACTCCGGGATTTTTTGCCTTGTCGACACTAAAACACTGAAGATTCCACAGTCCGACTCTGAAGCACGGCCGTCCATTGTTAGTAAACGAGAAAGTTTTTTCGGGTATGGGTCTTGAACATTTCCTGGACAGCAGTTCGTACACCTCTTGCGTGGACTCGTCGATGGTACGCAGTTTTTTAATATCACCATGACATGGAGGAGCAGACTTTGTTCTCCTGTGATGTGTCCTTTTCTTGTACAGGGGGTTTATTTGAGGTGTGCTGGGAGAAAATGATCTGTTGTCTTTCTTAATAGTCCACGTGTCTACCATTATAAATAGCCTCATTCTTGAAAGTTTCTGTGGTGTGACACTCTTGACTTTTAGTAATTCGTCAACATTCTTGAAGGGACCCTTCCTTTCCCTGTAGTGAATTATGTTGGCTGCCATTTCCTGGCTCATCCCGCGAACTGTCATCAATTGAAACATGTTGGCCGTGTTGACATTGACAGTCTTCAGGGGCGACGGTCGCTGGTGGCGGGAATTTGTCTCTATGCTGAGCAATGACTCCAGGCTCTGGTCTCGAGACGAGGCAAGACTGTCTGGTATTTTACGACGGCTAGTTACGCATATTTCCGCACGAAAGTGTTCCAGCTTTGAGGCGCCAACTCCGGACACCAGAGCCAAATCCTCCACCTTCTTATAACCACCTATTGCTTGCCGGTAATCGATTATATTCCTGGCAATCGCACGATTCACTCCCGGAAGGGTCATCAGCTGTTCCTCCGTGGCAATATTTACATTTAGTAAATCCCAGTGCAGATCACAGTCGAGGATGTGAAATGTGGCACTCAGGTTACCATTTTTTGACTTGTAAAATCGCGTCTTCGGTTGTTCGTCCAGAGAATCCAGATGGTGAGAACTCCCAATGCACTGTCCCATTGCAACGCACTGTCAGATAAACTCAGAGGAACGTAGAACTGTAGAATTCCTTTCCGTCATCATTATAACGAAATACTGCAAAAAATAATCGTAAATCATTAAAATCAAAGAAATGTCAAGCAATTTACTGATATAAATATACAACAGATTAGTAATTATATAAATTTTACTTTACAGATTACCCATTCTGGAGAAAGAAGTGTTTGTAATGGGACCATAATCTGTGATTCCCGTAATCCAAGCAACTACACTTCCAGCTATCATCTAACTTACAAAGCTACCTCTAATTTAGATGGTTCAAGAGATGCAACTAAACTACAGCCTTCAAAAGATGACACTTTGAAACACACAAAATTGCAATTGCTTCGGTAATTATCAGTACTAATAACTACAAGAAGACGTAGCAAGAGCATAAAATACTTTAAAGTTATCGCTTACATGCAATAAAGATCTAAAAAGGGTACCACAGAAGACAAAAAACAAAACTAGGAATTTCTTAAATTGTAACGTGATAAAAATCAATTGTATCTAAAATATGACAAGATTTTAATACTGTTAAATGCTACTGACACCCTTTTAAAATCATATGCCAAGTGTACAATGGCACACATTTAGTACCCTTAGTATCTGGAGTAGTTGTATTATATCAATGTTTTTCAATCTCCGACTTGGTAATTCTTTTTGCGGCACCCCTACTTTTTAATCAATGTAGATTTATTGCACTTTTTATACTTTTAGTCAATGTGCAGAAGTGTTATGGCACTGGTCGGCACCCCAGTTGAAATCACCAAATTACATACTATGACAAAATTAAATTGTTTAGTAAATATACAACTTGTAAAATTTCTCCTTAGTAAAATGTCGAAACAAACCTTTAAGAATTAGGACCATATTTCGGTCATGTCGGGCCAAATCAAAAGGTATTTAAAGACAAAATGACCACCATAGTTACTCTACCAAATTAATCGACATATCTTTATGGTGGTCAAACCATAAAGAACATTAATATTTTTCTGTAGTTTTTTTGCATTAGTTGCTACCATTTCGGTCCCTTCTACCCACTCGTTTACCGGCATTCCAGTTTTGTACCATTGACACCTGAAAACTAACCATTAATGGTATTGAAAATGTTAGCATTTCTTAACGTTCGGTCACCATTGTAGAGTGTCTCAAATATCAAATGAATATTTAAGGATAACTATAGAATAAGATATCTCACAGAGTGACTCCTACAGCAATTCTTTTTGATTTTTTACTTGTGTAGTGTCAACTTAGGATAATAAAGGCATGTTAATGGCACTCAATGGAGAAAATCATACCCAAAAAGGCACAGATTTGAAATGACAATACCAATTATAACCAAAGAAAAATGAATTTGACAGACAAGTACAGTAATACCCCGAACTTACGCGATAGGTGGGACCGAGCGATAACTGCATAAGTCGAATTCGCGTAAGTCGAGGTATAATTTTGCAATTTGTGTAAAATCCAAGACTGATGTACGTAAGCTAATAAATGTTCTCGTTAATCTTATCTAGTATTTTCATTCCTTCATGGTTACAAGAAATCACCACATAGTCTTTCGTAGATATAACAAACACAGAAATAAATTGTAGCTATATGTCGATTCTGCGCGACACGTCCAAACATGTAAGATGAACAATACTGTGGTGGGAGTGAGTATTCAAGGGTTGCGTGGCGCTCAAACAAAAGACTAATCGACGAGATTTGAAAATCGCGTAACTCCAGGGTTTGTGTAAGTCGGGGTAGCGTAAGTCGAGGTATTACTGTAGTAATATATTTACATAAATCATCACTTAATATGCTTTATATTCTCCTAAATTCTCCAATTACGCGTAGAAATATTTACAAATATCAAATTTTGAAAGATAGTGTAGACACAAATACCACATAATAAATTATATATAATTCCATTTTTTAAACGTGTGTTTGTAAACTCAAATTAAGCTTCGTGCACAATAAAACTATATTTACAAAATTAAGTTTTTATAATAAGATCACATCAACAGATGTATTACTAGTAAACATACTAAATTATGCACAAATTAATAATAATAATAAAAACCGGTTTAAATTTATGGTTTTAACAGGTTAATGTAATTTATCAAGCAAAGGGAGAATGGACGATCTCGGATGATTTTGGAGATAAACACGCAACCTCATTGCATTCCAAGGACTAAAAAACTTGCTTGACTGGAAAAATTTTGCTCCTTATTAATTTGCGAGTGGGCAAATCTTAGACAGCACACGATACAAATGTAAATATGAGGATCACTCGTGAGAATTGTGTACGGCTAACATAACTCCACACAGACCAAAGTTGTTAAAATTGTATAAATAAATGAATAGAGTTTGATCCAAACGTTAAATTTTCGATCCACAAGCAGAATTTGCTAATTAGTAAATTAACTTTATCGAATTAATTCCTGTTATGTTACAAACGTACGACGAGCAATCGATTTAACAGGTATAGCAAACAACATATAATTCTCTCTGTAATATATTACGGCGATACAAATGTAAATTGATAAAGTAATAATTCGTTATTTGTAAACTGAGAACAAAACATTCTGACTTAACGTCGAGCCACAGGAGCCAAAAATAAGGTCGAAAATCTTAACTATTTGATTGAAATGCAAATTATCTTGTCCAAATGGGGAGAAAAACGTTTGTTCGTTTCTTATAAAATTTGAGAGAGATCAAAAATGTTGTTCAGACAAATAAGTAACGATGTACATTTTCACACAAAGATTATCATCAATATATGTTTCTAAAAGTAGGACATCTTGTAAGTCTGGTACCACAGACGTTATGTAGATCTTCATTTATTATTTTAAAGGAAAAGCAAGGCCCAAGTAAGGATAAAAGAATTCAAATTTTATTTTGGTGGCAGGGACTTGCAGTCAGCAAGATGTAGCCAAAGAACTTAAAGGGTCGCATCCAGACAGCTGTACGATCGATTGGAAACTGGGACGCGGCTCTTCGGAAATTTCATTGTCTCTAATGTGCCTTATCCAAATAAACTTAGACAAATCTTCAACTAAATACTGGTAGCCATTTTGACATAAAATTTACATTGTCTTGTATATTTCTAAGAACTTATTAACAACTGAAGAACAACAAGTGGTGATGCGTTACTTAAATTTGATTATTTGACAGATGCTCGGTGCTCATTATTATCAAATGCCTTCTTCATAAGCATTCATCATCATTCTGCATCCAAAGCGAGACCACTTAATGTCCACAGATTATATTCGTACTGCTCTTTGACACTGTCGACACGATCTCTGCCAGATTCATGATAACAACACCCCTACTGTTCACTTATACCTAAAGTTAATTCTGTCAACATATTCTAACAGCTGCAAGTTACATTTAATTATTTAGAGGTAGGTACTAGATAATTAATTTAATAAAAATATTCATCTTTGGTTCAGATTTCCGACGATTACATTCAATAGTCGTCGACAGGTATACAAATGAAAGTTTGATACTTAGAGGACATAGCTGTTTACATTTTATAGTTATCTTTTTGAAAGAAAATCTTATCGCTGTTGTTTCGCAACAGAAATCTCAATACAATGATAAAATGTGTATATGATTAATGAAAATTTAAAAAATTTTTTATTGCGATCATCATCGTCATACTTCTGAATTCCTAGGCCAAGTCGAACGTTCCAAACTCTTATAGTCTTTTTTGGTACATCTTCTCTTCATCCTGCCGACATAAACTCAATATTCTACGTAGAATATGCATAAACTGACTGTGAAATTGGACGATAAAACCTAACCCAAAAACAGATTACATGTCTGACAGAGATGCTGCTATTGGGTTAATAAAATCATGTGGTAAAGATGGTGTGAAAGAATGGCAAAAGGAAGTAAATTATGGGAAATTATGGGATCTTATATAGAAGGGTTTTGAACTGCCAACATCTCTATAACCATGCTACAGTCATTTGTCATGAACTAGTCATTTAATGTTTCAACACTCAGCAGCACTTCAGACAAAAGAAATTTGTCATCTTCCACATGTTTAAATCTTAAAGCAGCTTAAGGATTAAGATACATCAATAGACAATGCAAAACATTGCAGACCATTCTGTCTGACAGTCTATCGTATGTCTCCGTAAAAAACTGGGACAGACATGAAATTTATAAAACAACAAAAAGTAAGCAATGTAAACACATTTTACGATCGAAAACATAAATAATCATCCTGAATAAACACTTTAACCATTACTAAATCAATTTTTGCACGATTATAAACTCATCAGACACCAATTAATCCAAAAATCTCTGTCTCGTAACGACTAAATTTTTAAAAAAATCATTCTTTTAAGTATATTTTAAGCACATTATATCAAAAAATAAGCAGTGACGATAAATTATTAAATCTGAAATTCAAGGTTAACGCAATTCTACACAAGTGGCTCGTAAAACGTAATTAGCTAAAATAATAATCAGACAACGGCGCACCACAGAGATCTTTAATCGATATTATGTACGAATCTCAATATAATATACACAAGAAACTTAATTAAAAATCAAAGTTTTCCAAATCCTACGGAAAACTCTTGGCGTTACGTAATCAATATTCGAGTCAATCGGATGATAAAATTGTCAATAAAGCGGTTTTATTAACCGCCACGGAAACGTTTCCGATTATATAACAAATTAAATGGTTTGGAGCATTTTTTAAGTTCTTCTCTTTGAAATTAATCAGTTTAAAATCAAATTATTATGAATTTTATGCAATCTTTAAGGTGAATTTTCCCCAGATTTTGCAAGAAATTTTGGAAATTTCAGCCTTATTAACTAATTTTTCACAAAATTTATTAAGCAAGAGGACTTTCTGACACATTCTAAGACTTACCTACTTTAATTCAAGCTTAAACTATCCTTAAAACAAATTTAATTATGATCATCCCTTAAACTGAATTAAAATATTTTATTTAAACATTAAATTTACTAAGCAGATGCAATCACTGATTAATTTCTTATTGCTATTACTTACAGTTATGCTTCTACCTTTTCAGATCTCGTGCAAGCATAGGTTTAATCTGCTTAATACATTCTAAAAACGAACTTTAGCATTATTTGAATATCAAACAAGAGAAAAGATTAATTAAACACACTTAAAAACAATAATTGCATAGTTTGCTGGCGTTAAATGACTAATTTCCTAGTTACCGGGCGCAAACCCTGTCCGGATACATTCGACTTTAATGCATTTGACGCCAATCTCTGACGTCATTGCCAATATTATTTATGCGTCGAACATGAAAAAGATATGTTAAATGCATCTTGAAAGAAATTATCCACTTAACGCTCCAGTATCCGGTACAAATCCTGCCCGATTCATGCTGGATACCAGTATACTAAGATACATTTGAATTAAACGTATTTAACATTAATTTTCAAAGCTACTGACGATAATATTTACACATTAAACAAGAGAAAAGCTTAATTAAACATATTTTTAAACAAATTAGACAATCTGTTATTGGTTAAGAGGGCAATTTCCTAGTTATCCGACACAAAACCCATCCACGTTCTGTGCCGGATAAGAAGAATATGTTCAAATTTACATTTAATGCCAATCTCTGAAGCTACTACCAATATTATTTACATATTAAATGTGAATTGAAATTAATTAAACACACCTTTAGAGAGTTTGAGAGTAGTAAACACATGATTTCACAGTTATCCGACATGGATTTTGCACGGGATAACTAAAATACATTCGACTTTAACATATATACTGGTAATTTTTAGTTATTTCTATTATTATTTGCATATTAGCCAAGAAGAAAGATTAATTAAATACATCTTGAAAGAAACTGTTTGTTTACTATTTGCACATTGTAATTTACAGGTTATCCAGTACAAATTGTACATGATAAGAAATATAGTTTACTGTATGCTTAAAACTAAGTTTAATGCTTTTAAAGCTAATTGGTAAAGCTATTGCCATTAATTAACCATATTTTTAAAAGAATTTCTCTCTAATTCTCGAAAACCATGCAATTTCCAACTCATCTGGCATGAGTATCATCCACACTCCATATAGATGAGAAACTCTCAAATCTAGCACATTTAATCCTAATTTTTAGCATTATTGTCATTAATACCTGCATATTAAACAAGAAAATGGGTTATTCCAACCCATTTTTAATGAGTTTACACAGTTAGCAAGGCCAAAATTTCAATAACACAATGCAAAATCTGTCCAGGATTCACACCGCACTCAAGTTTAATGCACTCAGTACCAAATTTTAAACCCAGTTCTGGTATTACTTACACATTAAACAAGAAGTGATGTAAATTAAACCCATGTTTAAAGAAATTACACAGTACGCGGGTGTTAAACACCCAAAAATTTCCCACTAGTCCGGCATCCGGTGCTCAAATCAACCCGAGGAACGGGTAGAAATTCCCCGATCTTTACACACCGAATGTAAATATGTTCTGCATTACTGTACATGAACTCTCAACCTTTGGCATGTGTAAACATATACACAAACACTAATTACAATTAAATGATAAGTGTAATTTGTAATTCATGCTTCTGCTGTTGAATGTATTTAGATAAATCCCCGATTTAACTATACTAATCGCTTATTTACGCCATTATTAAATATAAAATTAATTAAATTAGCAAATTAAGACAGTTTAAAGGCAGTAAATATGTTAAGTGAAACGTACAGACACGCGGACATACTTTAGCGAATTCTCGGCGTAGATTGGCGATTCCGTCGTCTCAGTCCCTAGAAATCACGTGGAAATGATCATTTGCACGTGATTTCTGGCGCCTAATTAATCATTTTAATGCTAGAAAATGGATAGAAAGTACGATTCAAACCTATTTCTCCTGATGTTCCCATCGAGTTTTCGGCTTTTAAACGTACAGAAACAATCCAATTGATTCATGCTTCGAATATTAAGAGAATATTCGATGTTTTCCGCTCTTTATATTCGCCAAACGAACGGAAATATTATGAAAAATAGCAAAGAAACACTTCCTCCCTTCACCTTCGACATCCTCGCCCGTGCTCTACTACAGCTGACAATGACGGGCAGCGCCCTCTCGCAATTTGTTTTGTTTTTCTTTATTACTATTATTTTAATTTTTTTTTTTACCAAAAAATAAAGGGCACGATCTGGCAACACTTTAAGCAATTACTAAAATCGTCTGCTTCAGCTTCCGCTTAATTAATTTCACCTGTTTAATTTAATTATTTTTAAATTTTTCTTAAAATTTTTAAAGCGCAAAAAATTTAATTAAGTAACATTTTTATGCGATTTTTAAACAAAATCCGACATCTTTAACGCTTAAATTATGCAAGAATTCAGAAACGTTTTAAGTCAGTGACGTAACAAAGAGAAAACTTCGTAATAATGTATATAATATTCACTCCACACGGGAGTTAAGTAGCACACGGGATAAAATTGTTACGTCACGCGGTGTATTTATAAATAAAACACGAGAATAAATACATATAAAAAACGTGACGACATAATAATAATAATATTATTATTATTAAAATGCGATTTATAATTATTTATATATATTATACTATTAATATTCATAAAGGTTAATAATTAATTAAATTTAAATAAATTATAATGGCGATAAATTATATTAATTAAATAAAATATTTAAATTTAGCGGAAACGTCGTCAAAATTTCGCAATTTTTCTCTTGTTTTTCTACTATTTAATCGGGAATTTTTATAACGTATAACACTAGATACAGAAGCATTGTAGCTTGAAAATAATCGATAAACAGATAAAGAATAAATATATATATATATATAAGCTACCAGATAGAGAATTATAGATACTATATGGAAAAAACACGATTGGTATCAGTATCAGCTACACTACAACAACACATAATTGCGACGATCTTAACATTCCAACGGCCCTTCTAAAAATTGACCTTGAGAGTTATAATTTCCTGACGATGATGATATTAATTCACCGACAGTTTTTACGTTCGAAAAAAACTACCGAATGGATTCTGTTACAGTAACAAAGCCATATCAGATTCATAAAAATGAATCATTCGCGCGATCTGCTCACTGTCTTATTGATATTACATAAGCCCAGTTTTCGGAAAGAACTCATACCAAAATATTTTTCTGACCTTCTACACAGATGAGACCTTGATAGAAACATTCTTCTTCTAATCTTTACAAGTTTATATCATTTCTGTAACGGGTTTATGTAGGAAATTACTATTTTTTCAAGTTATTAAATGAGGAATATGTCGTGCTTGTAGTGTTTTAGTGAGTAGTGATGCGTTTAATGCGCTCGCTTATGGGATAAAATTCGCTATTTTTAGAAGGAAGTTCTACTGTAGAATAGGTTAGTATCGACCTGTATGAAGTTGTAGATCTTTATATTGATGTCTGTTCGAAACTTTATAAGATAAGCCCCCTCTACACGAATCTATACGAGGGTGAACCATGCTTTTCAATAAAGAATAGAGAAATTGCACATACACACACACAAAAAAAATGACAGAAGAGATAATGGAGTTGATAATATCTTCCACTTTTATGCCAATTTCCTAAGAGAGTTTTAGACAGACACATCCTTTACAGTCAACAGATTAATTATAAGACGTCCAGACGGAAAAAAACTGATAATGCCATTAATAAAAGTTGTATGAACCTATGATATATGGCACGGAAATTAAATTATTGATGAAGGAAGTAAATTGTGATAAATCTTGTAAATGTAAAAGACGTGTTAAAATAGGTCACAAATGTGTTTTTTGTATTGCTCGTTCCCACACTTTTAGACCTTGATAGAGGGGGAGAGGTATGCTTTCAAAATTTGCCATTCAGGTAAATTGGCGTATACGTGGGAAAGAAATAATAAAGGGGGGCTTTAACAGTTTAATTCTTTATCTGCACCCTACGCTTATAATGGATTCGTTTAGGTAAGAAGTTCTGTTAGGTTCAACGTCATAAGATTTGATACACCAAACTGTCATTGATCGGTCTTTGATCGCTGTTTTTAACAATTTGCGTGACAGACAACACGAAATGTTGTAGTTAAAGTCGCTCCGGTTGTTGGCAAGAACCCAAAACTTTCAAATAAAAAGCTTTAGGTAGCGGATAATTTCTTTTTAGAAAAAATAAAATAAAATAAAATTGATTAAGATCGAAAGTTTTAAGTTAGTAAATTAAAACAAAAAGCAGAGAAAGTTGTTAGCGAATGAAAATGGTGATCGATAGTTCTTGTTTGAATTAATTAAAATAATGTAAAACTGGTGTTGATGATGTAAATAAGGATAAGACGCTGCCTATTGCCATCTCTCCCTTTATATGGGATGTTAATTATATCGAGTGTTCTTGTACGCCCCATTATCGAAACATATTCAATACAATTACAATCCTACAGTGAAAGTAAGTTATCATGCCCCATTCACTTTTTGTATATACATCCGTACATTAAGTATCATATTGAATATCCTTTTCTAATTGGGCAAGATGACTTAGTGTTATCTTCCACAATTATGGTAAAGAATTAAGCTACTAAAATCCCCTTTATTGTTACCCTTCTATACAGTATAGCCTAAGTACACTGTACTAGTGTTAAATCATCTTTCTGCTGATACTGATTGCGCCGAAATTTTATTAAATCACGTAAATTATCTCAAATTCATTAACCTTAAAGCTCACTTAATGACTTTTTCTTATCTCTTTTATAATCTTTTAAGTACCTTTGTTCTATCATGAATACAATTATAGTTGTAACAAAACCCCCAGCAGTTAGATTTAATCATAGATACGTTTGTAATTACTTGTTCTTGCCGCTGAAATTTGCATATAACTCGTTGTTTATACTGATCTATAACACTATAAACAATTGTTTAGAGTATATAAGATTAAGGCCCTACTTTAGACTCTTCCCTTACAATAAGAATTTTAAACAGAAAGTCGGCGTGGCATGGTTGCAAAATACCATTTTAACTGTTATAACATTGCTGATGACATCATTCAGACGCAGCATTTATTAAAATTATAGTGTTTAAACGCCAGGAAAATATGGAAAAAATTTGCGGTTTAATGTAAACATAAATTATTAATAATAATGAAAGTTTTATCGATACAAAAAATGACGATCTAATGACGACACAGCGAGAAAAAAATAACCAGATTGTGACGACATAAACGTACTCTATAACGTCACAGTGTAGGAATGAGATTATCATTATGATATCACAAAAAAAGAGTATGACATCACAGAAGAGGAAGTTAGCATCACACAAGAAAGTGGCATCGCAATCAAAATTTGAAATTTAGATTTCTTTTTTATGATTAGAATTGCTTTTCTTTCTATCAATCAATTTGAGTTTATTAACGTATAAATAAAAAAAATAACACCGGAGGATTATAAAAAAAAGTGACACATTCAAGTGTGACATCATAACAGAAATTATTATTTAAAATTTAAATTTCTACTGGAGAATTAACTATTATTTTATGATAAATTAACTTTTAAAAAAATCCATTTTTAAACTAAAAAATTATTCGAATAAAGTGTGACATCACAGAAGTTGACACACGAACGTGTGACGTCACACAATAAAAATTTAAATTAAAATCTCTTTTGTGCATAAATTATTAACTATTTTCTGATTTCTTACCTTTCAAAAATATCAATTTTTAAATTTACGAATGTAGAAAAGTATTAAAAAAAAACATGACAGCACAGGAAGAAAAAAAAAGTGACACGTGAAAACTATGACATCACACAGTGAAAAATATTTAAATTTTAAATTCGTTTGTGTGCCTAAATTATTAACATTTTGTGATAAATTACCCTTAAACAAGAAAGTTTTACATTTATAAACCGAACAGAGCGTGACATCACAGAAGAGGAAGTTGACATCACAGTAAACAGCGTGGTAAGGAGTGTGACATCAGACAATGAAAATTATTTAAATTGTAATTTTAAGCTTAAATTATTGATAAATTGCTCTAAAATATAAATTTTTAAGTAAATAAAAACTACCTAAAAATCAAGTAAGGAGTTCTTTAACCTCAAGTTTATTTTTGAGTCGAAAAATATGGATTTAATCTGAGATTTTCGTGACATAATGTGATTTATGACAGAGCAGAGAAAGTTATTAATGATTGTTAAGCCAAGAAGAATAAAATACAATATATATATATATTTATAAAAATACTTCTTGGGCATGTAAAATCTTAATAAAAACTAACACCGGAGGGTCGAATTCGATGATAAAATGCGTACAAAAATACGTAAAAACATAAGTCCTGATTAAGGAAATAATTCATAATCTCTTTATTGATGATGTATATATGTCTGATTAAGTTTCTATTTCCTTATTAGTTACTAAATAACGAATATCCTCCGGACGCTGCCATCTTGAAAATTCAAAATTTGAAAAAAAAATTCGGGTCATGTGACTGATTTTGAAATATTTTAAATTGTAAATACTTATTTAGTTGTTTAATTTATTTTACTTTATGCAATAATTGATTATATTTATAACAATAAATGTAATAATTATAATTATTTATTATTGGGCGGATTTAATCAAAACAAAACTTTATCAATCCGGCAACCAATCAGAAATTGCGTAATATACCAATAATTAAATTTAATTAAATTTAATTAATTTAATTATTCTCTGTAAAATTTACTTAAATATTTTTAAATTGTAAAATTTTAAATAAAATTAGAAATTAATTTATAGGTAAATTTCTCGTCGAACGTTAAAAAATCGTATAAATTAATATTCAAACCGATTACGTCATTTTGAATTTAAATTTTTAAAAATTGATTTCGAATAAAATCAATCTATTTATAATTAACGGAAAATAATCAAAATATTAATTTTAATATTATAAAATTATATATTAATTAATAATAAAAAATTGTTTACGAAATTAAATACACGTAGTAACATAAAAAAACATGAATTATATACACTAAAAGATGTTTATATTATAATTAAATATAAATAAAGCTTATTTGTATTTTAATAATTCGTTTTTAGTAAAAATTATTACTATTACATTTAAAAAAAACAAAAG